TCTTTTATAATTTTATCATCTAAATCCATAAATTCTAATAAATTAGAGAGGAAAACTTTTGTCTCCTCCTTGCTGAAGGCTAAAAATAATTTTGGGATTTTGTTATTTTTTATTTAAATTTGAAAAAATAAAAACACACGTCTTTCAATACTTGAATTAAATCCATTTATTTTAGCCTTTGGAATTAATTTATTTTTGGAAGAATTTACAGAAATTTTTGAAAATAAATTATTAACTTAAAAATAATTAATTAGTATTTAAAGGTTTCGGGGTAATCTCTGTCCCGCATTCCCGTCCCCCTACTTCTGCCACCGTGGGGAAGGTGCATAATTTACACCTATTGTTTTGCTAGTTTTGTTATATTTTCCACAATTTGCTAATAAAGCTCCCGGAAATTCCCTAATTTTAAAGTTTTCCCTTATTTTGTCGTTAATTTAATTATTTTTAGAAAACATATTTTATTTGCTTCAATTCCTCCAAAAGAAAAATTATTTTTATTTTTATTTAAAGGAAAAAATAATTTTTTGTTTTCAAATTGTTGGCCTTTGTAGGGAATTGAAGGAACTGAAAATTTTAAAATTTTATTTTAATTTTGTTAAAATTTAGTATACATTTTGGAGAAAGAAAATTAATATTTGTAATTGTTGAATTAACAAAAATAAAAATATTTAATAAAAGAATTAAATATTTAAAAAACATTTTTTAAATTTATTTTTATGAATATATTTAGCTAAAATTATTTTAATTTAAATAATAACCCTTATTTATTTATTAAATAAATTTTTATTAGACGTCTCATTAATAATTATTTAATAAAAGTAAACAATTTTGTACTTGCACTTTTCTTTTTGATTTTTTAAAGTAAAACTGACGAAACAAGTGCCGATGCACTATATTAACTATTTCCTGTAATTTCTTACGAGGTTATTTTCATCAGCGGCCTTTTTCGTCAGAATCTTCGTCATTTTTTTAATTCTAATTATTATATTTAAATTATGCCGATTAATAGAATTTTTAAAATGAAACACTGGACTGCCTAAACTACTCTCAGACGAAGCCCCATCTTCAGGAGCTTATCGGCGTTGATCCCCATGAGCGGTAACTTACTTCTGAGGCGCGCCGAATCCACCAATTAAAAGGAAAGCTTTCTTTTTAAAGTTTTATCTAACAAATATTTAATAAAATATAAGGGAGGAAGAACCGGCAAATTTGTGGTCGGAATTGAGATTAAACGAATGAACATATTTGGATTTTTAAAATAAAACTAGGTTCAACCAACGTTCCCCCTTTTTCCGAAAGATTCGAGTTTAAAAAACCTCTTAAAAAATTACAGGAAATAGTTAATAAACATCGGCATTTATTTCGTCAGTTTTATTTTTAAAAATCAAAGAGAAAAGTGCAATTACAAAATTGTAAATATTTATTAATGAGACGTCTAATAAAAATTATTTAATAAATAAATAAGGGTTATTATTTAAATTAAAATAATTTTAGCTAAATATATTCATAAAAATAAATTTAAAAAATGTTTTTTAAATATTTAATTCTTTTATTAAATATTTTTATTTTTGTTAATTCAACAATTACAAATATTAATTTTCTTTCTCCAAAATGTATACTAAATTTTAACAAAATTAAAATAAAATTTTAAAATTTTCAGTTCCTTCAATTCCCTACAAAGGCCAACAATTTGAAAACAAAAAATTATTTTTTCCTTTAAATAAAAATAAAAATAATTTTTCTTTTGGAGGAATTGAAGCAAATAAAATATGTTTTTAATAATTATTATTAGCAATAAAATAAGGAATACATACTTTAAAATTAGGACATTTCAGTAGAAAATTGTGGTAACAAAACTAGCAAAATACATAGTGTAGAGTATTCCCCATTCCCCGCGTTGGGTCGGGGCGTTGGGTGTATTAGAGCATATCCGGAGGTTTCGGTTAGTCAAAACTTTCGAGGAATTCGAACTGCGGGGACTAAGAAGGGGAGGGGGCTCTGAGGGGGAGAGTAGCCCTCGTTCCCTGAAGAATTCCGTTCCCCTGGGTCTAGGGTCACACCCTACTTATAACCTTTATTATTGTAGGAAAGTCTAAACAGAAAAACGTAATCAAACAATCCCAATAGTTCAGGTCAAAGTTTGAACCGGGGAATTTTTTGACACTAAACGTTGCGTCCAAATTTAAAAAATAAATTAATCCGAAACAACCTTTAATTAATTATTTTTAGGTTGATAATTTATTTTCAAAAATTTCTGTAAATTCTTCTAAAAATAAATTAATTCCAAAAGCTAAAATAAATGGATTTAATTTAAATAGTGAAAGACGTTTGTTTTTATTTTGTAACAAAATTCAAAAATTATTTTTAGCATTCAGCAAAAAGGAGGCAAAAGTTTTCTTCGATAATTTGATAGAATTTATGGATTTAGATGATAAAACTATAGAAGATGTTGATTTACTTTTTGAAAAAACAAAATATTTAATGAATAAAGAAAGAAGATTAGCTTTTGTCGAAAAATTGGAAAAGGAAAATGTTTCTCTAAAAATGTTAAATAATATTAATGAAATAAAAAATATTTTGTTGGAAAATGAATTTAAATTGGAAAGTAAATAAATAATGATTTTTTATATTTTTTAAAAACAAGAAGAAGGGGGAGAGATTGGGTTCCAGCTCTATCAATTTAGCTACCATGGCTCCTCTCTTTTAATGGATTCTTAAACCCCCGCTTTGTATTTTCTTCCTTTAAGTTTTAGTTTTCGACAGGGGGTTTTAGATACCAAGCTCGAACTAGCTATTGTAAAGCATATAGCTATTTAATTCCGAAGGCTATGCAGTAAACGGCTTGGTGTAATGACTAACACATCAGTCCGGTCTACCGAAAGTGCCGGTTCGCTTCCAGCCGCCGATTAACCTTTGCACTAGCTAAAGGAGAGAAATGGTTATAGCCCAGCTGCTTTACTCAATGCTTTAAAATTTCTTTTTTAAAGAAAACATCCAACAAATTACTTCCCAATTATTCATTCTTGGATTATACTCATATCTCTATTATATACTTCAAACATTTTCAAACAAAGAGCAAAAAGAAATTGTTTCAGGACGCGAAAACTATGTTTTATTAGTCCCTCGTGGCTATTTTTATTTTCTTGTTGATAAGTGAGTTTAATTTTTAAATTAACTTTAATAAAACGAAAATTTTAATAAATATTCTTTTCTTAGATATAATGTTATTGACAAAGACGAATTAAAATTAATTATGGAAGGAGCATCTTCTATTGGTTCATATTTAGAAGATGAATTTAATTATTAAAAAAATTAATTTATTTGTTTTATTAAAAATTTTTCTTAATTTTAAAAAATTTAAACAAATATATATGTAGCCGACATATAAAAATCAATTCCCAATTTTCGGAATCGGGTCGGCTAGATTCCTTATATGTAGTAGAGATCGAGATTTTTGATATGTTTAGACGACCTGTTCCGGACTCTGGAGTTTGATTTATTGACCTGGACTGGATTCTGGGCCTGTAATCCAGGAAAACCCCAGGAAAGTCAAAAAAAATGCCGGGACTCTGGGTACAGGAAAACCCAAGGCCTTGTCCAGCTAGATCCCTGATATGTAGTAAATGAGGATTCTCATTCGTAAAATTTTGGAAGTACAGTAATTATAAATCTACCCTGTACTTATGAAATTGAAATTATAAGTACATACACTTATAAATGGACATTTTAATAAAAAATTAAAATTCTCAAAATTAATCCTCAAAATTAAATTTAAAATACAATTGTTGTTCTCTATCGACAGCGTAAATCAAACCAACGGCAAACTTAACAATTAGAGTACCTGTTCTTGTGTTTTCTGTTCGGACAGATTTGAACGAAATCTACTGCACGTCATTTCACAATTCTAATAATTGTCCTTCGAAAAAACCCCACCACGATAGAGTTGAAATATTAAATCCCCAAGGGTTTGGATATCTATATAATTTTGCCCTGAGATTTTTTAATAATTACCCTTAAAAATTAATTTTTGAAAAATTATTTAATAAATATTTATTTTAATAATTTATTTTTATTTATTTCTCTTATCTTTTCCCATAAAAATAAAACGATTATTTTGCAATAAAAATCAATTTTAATTATTTGAACAGCTTTATTTCGACTCCACCCCAGAATATCTACACCCTAAATATCTACACCCTAAATATCTACACCCAAAATGACGAATTACCCAAAATATCGAAAATTTTTAAATTTCATAATTGTGTATTCCAAGTATGGAGAAGTCTTTTTAACAAAGGGGAATTGCTCAAACAATGGAAAAAACATAAATCTGATCAATATGTTCAATTAAAGAGAGTGATCGATCTCCAAGTAGAATCTTGATTGGGGCTATTGTCAGTTCGATCGCTTCTCTGTAGTTGGAACACTTCCCAGATGTTGGAACAACATTCCCGATCCTTAAAATACACAATTATGAAATTTAAAAATTTTCGATATTTTGGGTAATTCGTCATTTTGGGTGTAGATATTTAGGGTCATTCGATATTTTGGGTGTAGATATTTAGGGTGTAGATATTTAGGGTGTAGATATTCTGGGTTTCCCCCCTTTATTTCTATCATTAATTTGTTTTCAAATTTAATTATCTATCTATTTTAGTTTAAAATTTTTTTTAAATATTTACTTTAACGATTTAATAACGCCGCTCGAGAACAATGAAAAGTGTTGTAGAGAGGGGGGCCTCGTTATATGTAGGGAGATTTCATTTAATTCCGACTAGTTATCGGAATTTTTTCTGTACCGTATCCTGTGCCGTGATGCCATAAAATTACAAATAACTAAAATACAGATGAACTTCAAAACTGTATTGTATTACCGAAGACTAAAAATACCAATAAAGCATCCATAATACCTCTAAAGTTACCCAAAATTCTGAAAATACCTTCTGTACTACGTTCACAAATTTCGACCTAATAAAATTCTGTTTTTAGGTTTTTATAAAATGTTCAAAAAAAATTTTTTTCTATTAATTATTTTATTAAATTTTAAAATAAATTATTCCGTAATTATCCAAACAAGTTATGGAACTTTGGAAGGATTTGTTTATAAACTTGAAAATGGAAAGTCTGTGAATGTTTTTCTAGGCATTCCTTTTGCTGAGAAGCCTATTGGAATTTTAAGATTTGAAGTAATTTTTAGTATATTTTTTGGGTTTTGATTAGACTACCGTATGACCTGTATTAATTGCCCTCCCTCAAATAATTACCCCACTTCAATTAATTACCCCATCCAGCGATAGATTGAAGCAATAATTACCACCAAACAAATGCCCTAAAACACGTTGAAATTTCAAACCTAGTATAATTACCCTCCCTTGATTAATTACTCCCTCTAGGGTAAGGCCGGAATAATAATTACCCAGGGTAGTGAATAAAAGGTTTACGGTAACCAACATAGGTATAATGCTTGCGTGGGTAATACAGCCATCCTTTTAATTAGAATGTTCGAAATAGACTCAGATTTTATGACAGCTTAGATGGTGAGTTAATCATTTGACAAGGCAACCGACTAGTACATTCTGCTGCCCTACATACCGTAAATCTTCTAAGAGAAGCACGGTCAATAATTGAACCACACGTGTTTTAATTAGAAGATTAACGGTAATTGCCTCTCCGTTTAAGCATGCATAAAATCGCTGAGTTTAGTGTAGCTCTTCAAACCCTGTTAATTGAAAATGGGAAACAAATTTAAACTATTCTCTACTAACAATTATTAATTCCGCTTCACATAAAAGTATGATTGTTTTAATTAAATCAAAAAATTAACAAAAAAATTTTTCCCTGCGGCGCTAAAAATACTGTTGTATAGACACAAATAGTTCTAAATTATTATTGAAAATTTCACTTATTTCTTTTCTTCTTTAGAAGCCAAAACCCCCTTCAAGATGGGAAGGAATCAAACCAACAAAAGAATATTCTCCAGCATGTGTTCCACACGCCCTTCCAATTGGTGATGAAATTTTAAATTTAAATGTTCCTTTTGACGAAGATTGCTTGTATTTAAATATTATATCTCCAAATAGAGAGGAAGATAATGTAAAGAATTTTTTATTTTTAAATTACAGTTAAACTTCATTAGAAAATACAATTGCATCATTAGGATTGTAGATAAATAAAAAGGGCACTTTAAGATCTATTAAAAGGGAAGGTGAAAGCCAACTCAGTCAGTAGAGGGTTTCGGGGTACTGATTGCAGTTTTTCTTGAATAAACAAGTCTGTGAATAACTGCCAGTAAGCATGACTTTATTAATAATCGATGGGGGAGCTTTGAAGTACTGGCAGTTATTCAAAAGATCTATGCCTGTCCAGGTTATAGATCCACTGAATGCCTGTCCAGGTCCAGGTATATTGGAATTTTTAAAGGCAATTTTTTTTAATCCATGGGGGAGCATTTAATGTCCGTTTTTAATATTTATTTAGGATAACCTCGTTATAAGATATAACTTCTTATTCCCAGAGGGTATTTCATAGTGTAGATTTACTGTAATTCAATTAATTTTTAATTAAAAAAATTCTTTTGTCAGAAAGAACAACTTTATCCAGTTTTATTAATAATCCATGGAGGGGCTTTCGAAGTAGGAACAGCAAGAAATTATGATTATAAATTGTTGGGAGAATATTTTGCTAGTCAAAATATTGTTGTTGTGACTGTTCAATATCGGTTGGGAGTTTTAGGTAAATTTAAATATATTAAAGGGATAAGGGGAATACAAACAAAATAATCGTATTTGGTTATCCTTCGATTCTGTGGATAATTCCAGACAAAATACTGTTGGCATCAGAAGACATTTTTAAACCCCTCTTAGGTTAGTTATTGCTAGAGACCGGCTCTAAGATATGAGATAGTGGAAAGTCTCCATGACAGATTTTTGAACGAGATATTGACTTGATCCATTGTAGCGATAAGTTTAGGGGTTAAGAGGAGTTGTTTAGGTTTACTCTTGAGTGACTAGACCTTTAATTGTTTAAATTGTAATACTTGGACCAGAGCGGCTTCGAAACAAAAAATCTTCAAAGTCGAAATTTCGAAACAGCTCTGAATGGGACTAGACTTCCTGCCCGTCATGGCTGTGCGCTATTGCGTTTGGGTTTCATTTTTGGCCGTTTTGGAACTAATGGCCGGTATTTTTTCGTGTTTCCGGGATCATTTACTCTGCTGCCCGTCCCTCCTTTCCCTCTCCTCTCTTCATTTCCTTCCCCTTTCATTTACAACAACTAGGAAATTAATATTCGTTTTAATTAAAAAGGTTTTGCTTCAACAGGAGATGAAATACTTCCAGGCATATTTAAACTTAATTGAAAATTTTGAAAAAAAATATTTTTTTTATTTTTAAAGGTAATTTAGGTCTATGGGATTTATTATCCTCATTAAAATGGATAAATAAAGAAATACCCAAATTTGGAGGGGATATAAACAAAATAACTTTGTTTGGTTATTCTGCTGGTGCTGTAGCTGTTTCGGCTTTAACAATTTCCCCTCATTCCAGAAATTTATTTAAACAAGCAATTCAATTTAGTGGCTCGCCTTTTGGCCAAACTAAGAGTGGAACTTTTGTTTTTAATGAAACAAAAGTGTTGGGGAAAGAATTAAATTGTTTAGAGGAGGTCGAGGAGGAATGGAATAAATCAAAATCTTTAAAGTTAAAAGAATGTTTACGGGCTAAAAGTGTTGAGGAAATACATGAGGCTATGAAGATAATTGTTTGTTTTTAATTTTATTTTTTGGTCAAGTATCTTAGAGCTTTCTTGTGGTTTTGATGTTGTAATTGTAGTAAAGGATATTGCAGGCATAAGTGAATTCCAAAGAGTGTAGGACGTAGTGAGGGATTAGAAAGAGAAGAGATCGGCAAAATCACATTTCGGCAAAATCACATTTCCGGGATCCCGTAACGATATCGAGATTGAAAACTTCGAACGGGAGGGATCCCGCGGGATTAATCCCGACAATCCCAGAGTCCCGGTAATCCCGTTCGTCGCTAAAAACCCGGGATTCCGTAAAATCCTGCCCGGGATCCCTCACGTGCCGATCTCTAATTGAGACTTTCCGGTCGGTAACTCTCGACTGAATGAAGAACAAAGGATCTTTCTTTGTCTATTGTGTAATAGTATATTAGATCCTATATGCATTAACTTGCTTATTAGTCGTTATCCCAAGGATACTTCCACCACAACACTGGTGCTCTCTTTGATCTAATTTTTAAAAATATTTTGTTGTTTAATTTACAGGGCCCGTCCAGAGTTGATGTAAATTTTGCAAAATTTGGAACAAGAACATCAGATAACGACTTCTTCCCAAAAGACTTAATTAGTTTAATTGAAGAATCACCTCCAAAGCCAACAATAATGGGGCATTGTACAATGGATTCTTTGGCTTATAGTTGTGTTTGAAAATTGGAACTTATTAAAAGACCTCACTAAAAAATAATTTCAATCCAATTTTTGACTGTGGTAGGGTCCGATAAATAAGAGGAATATTTATAAAATAGACTGTGTTCTACCACAGAAATATACAATAAAGATGAAGCAATACTAGGTGAAATGTAAGAAGTATTGTGATTAGTAAGACTAACTGACTAAATTAGATTTAATATTAGCACACGCAGACTATGAAAATCACGCACTCAGCAACCCTCAAAGGAAGGATTTCCAATACATAAGAGGAAAATAAATCTATGTTAGGGTAACGGATCTAGAGCCCGGAATTACGCACTATACCAAATTCCATAACGTATTACCAGCTGTAATACTGATAAATACCGAGAAATACGGCCATAATACGGTACGTGCTCTAATCGGATTCATATATCCGGGGATATTCCAGAATTCTTCAAACCCTCTCAACAACAATCTTATACTGAGTTCCAGTTTTATTTAAAATTATTTAATTTTTTTTTCAATTTGAAGCATTAATTCAATCAAAAAATAGCAGTGTAACCCAGTTTGCTGTCCCCCTTGAAAAAATTAAACATTTTGGACAGCACGATTTTGACCATATTGTTAGGGAAATGGTTGCCAAAAATAAATATTTTGGAGAAGAAATTGCAAAAATTGTTCAAGAAAAGATTATCTCATTTTACACAAAAGAATATAAAATTAATAATAGAATTAAAGACAATAATTTCTTTTTGGAAAGATACAGTATGGTAAGAAGGAATTTAATTTTTAATTATACCCTAAAGATCACCACTAAGCTTTAGTGGTGATATTTTGGGTGGGACTTAATTTAAATTTATTTTAACAGTTATTAAGTGATTTGCATTATATAGCCCCAGCATTTTGGGAATTAAGACTTAAAATTGAATTTAATTGGCCAATTTATTTTTATGAATTTGCTTGGAAAGAATCTTCGCTTTTTCCAGAATGGGTTGAAGTTAGAGGTAAATTAGGGGCGTAGGAGGTGGATTATACCTAAGGTTGGCTGGGTTATGAAAAGGTGGAACACGCCCAAGTAGGCGCGCGGTCATAACGGCGCAAAGCCATAACCCGCTGGAAAATTTCTGGCCCTTATCATCAATTTTGTTACCAACCTCTTTGGCTCGATAAGAGGAATCGTTAATACTAAATTTGCTAAAATTCGGATATCTTGAAGCAAGCTTTGCGCCGTTATGGCCGCGCGCCCACGTGGGCTGTACCCTGAAAAGGTGTAGGAATTGAGAGAGGGAAAAGAGGGGAAAAAATTATTTTTATTTTAAGTCAAAGTGTATCACTTTACAATAAATCTTTCACTCTAAGACTCCCTCCAAAGTAAACTCAATAGGGGGAATTATTATAAAATAATTTTAAAGAGAATATTAAAGTAATTAATTAATTTAAAGAAGCATTTCATATGTTAGACCACAATTTAATTTTTGGAATTGGAAAGTTTGGTGAGGAGGCAAAAGAAGTAGCTAATTTATTGAGGGGAATTATTGTTAATTTTGTTATTAAAGGGTTTGTTTTTAATTAAATGGAAGGAATGGTATTCGCTGATAAAATAGTAGCCTATCAAAATTTGAGGATTAGAGGGAACGAGTATATAAGAATGGGCTTCGAAAGATTGTACATTAACTGTCACTGGGATAAAATTAGGTAATCTGTTAGAGAAAGTTTTCTTCCAAATGTCAATCCAAACTAGTTTTGTCCCTTTCTTCCCGTCCTCCAAAGCGCATGCCTCTAAGCGCCTTGGGGAGCAGTCGGCTACCACAAAATTATAACCAAAAATAAAATGCCATAGCATGTTGATTTCGGTAATCCGACACAACTCGATTAGACATGACAATTCATCCTAAAATTGTACGGACCGAAAATAAACATGCTCATTAGTTTCACTGGAAATTCCGGTTCCGGTGAAATACTAATGCCCATCCAAAGAGTACACCAACTACCAACAGGAATAGGATAGGGGGAAGAATTTAAATAAACATTAATTCTACCCAAAAAACAATTTAATTAATTTTTATTTATTTTTTAAAGAAATCCAAAAATAAAAAATTCAAAAAATACAACAATTAATTGGAATAAAGCGACAAAAAACGACCCTTCCCGACATTTATTTATTAACGGAATTAATCCTTTAATTAAAGAAAATGTTTATAATACAGAATGGGAAAGATTACATTTTTGGCATAAATTAACAGAAACACATCAGGAATTTAATTTAATTAATGGGGTTTATGGAAAGAAGGTTAAGAGTGGAAAACATGACGAATTTTGAATTAAATATAGAACAAAAACCTCGATTTTACAGACACCCAAACCTAACTCATAATTTAAGGTATAATATATGGTTGACCAATGGGTGGGGGAAGCTGCTTAAAGGATAACCATTCAATTTTACAATTTCCTCAAGGGTGTACGTAAAATCGAGGTTTTCCAACTCCTATTTATTTTGGCTTTTTAAAGTCTTTTTTGCACACAACACAAATTTTTAAAATAAAATTTACAAATTTATTTACAAAAAAAAAATTGGGAAAAGATTAGTATGCTTAAACCTCGCTATAAGATACACTAAATACATATTAGAGCCCGGACTGGTAGGGTCGTATGAGAAACGGGATCTCGAAAAATCTCGATTCTCGAAAAATCACGATAACCGAGATTCTTGGCCGAGTCTCGTCTCGGTCCGGGCTCTACTCAATATTAAATACATATCTTTTTTAATTCTGTTAAACAGGAAACAATACCGAGTCTCGAAAAAGCGCCATTAGTATGGGAGTACCGAACCGTGCCGAACACTACTATGTAGTGTTAAAACCTTGTTATATTTAAGATAAGATTGATTTATTCATCTCTAAGAGGGTGTATCTTATAACGAGATTTTACTATATCATTTATTAATTTTTGTGTCTAGTAGTTTGTTGTTGTCTAATTGTAGGGAAATAAACATGTAAATTTCTAATTTTTGTTAAAGAATTATTTTTTGATTTTCTCGAATGTTTTGTTGTTTTTAATTGTTTTTCTTCTTTTCTTTTGTTATTTTTGTTGTTCTGGGAATTGTTTTGGACATAAACAATAATTATATCTTCGTCATCTTCGAGAAATTCGTCAAATGGAGAATTATCCAAAATTGCGTCGACTTGTACAGAAACTGAGAAAAAATAAATTTAAAAAATATAAAATATTTCTGTACGAAAGATATTTTTTAACAGAAAACCTTGTTATATCTCAATATTTTCAAACAAGGAAGGGTATTGGACTAGAGACTATGTAAATCGAAATAATAACTGAAATCCCCCAAGAAGAAAAATAGGACAAAAATAATTTCGTTGGAACCAATAATTATTTTGAACTCGAAATGGGAAATGAAGAAAGGGAAGTGGATGTTTACGACAATGGAACCAAAAAATCCGCAAAGTCCCAGTCAAAAATTCCGGTAAAGGTATCCGAAATATATATTTTCAACCCCCCCCCCCTTACCATTAGCTCCATCTCCACTTGAAGAAATTACAACAATACTATCATTTAATTCATCTTCTTCAGATTCGTTACTTGTTGTTTCAATTTTTTCATTGCCTACTTCATCCAAAATGGGTAAATTATTATGTAATTTAATTGGTTTAATAAATTTATGTAAATTTTGTTGCAAAATTGTTGTTGTTGTTGTTAATTGTTTTTGTTTTCTTTTAATATTTCCTTCTTAAATGGAAACTTTCAGATTTTTTTAATGACAGACCCATCAGAACAATAAAAATAGAAAGTTTGGACGGGACCTACTGACACTTATTATTGCTGTGACCTACTGACACTTATTATTGCTAGGAGTTTCGTTCAACACGTCCTACCAGCGAGTGAGAAATTGGATGAGAATTTGAGTGAAAACAAGCTTTTATAGATCTTAAATCTCAACCTTCTCTTCTACACCCCCACATCGAACGGTATCTCTGGTACCTCTAACCGGCACCTCTAAAAACAATCCGTCTGAACTTAAATCATTTCCGTTTATTGACAAGTGAATCCCACAAAAAACTTAATATCAGGCTTTATCAGAGACTTGATAGAATGTGAATCTTCTTGATATTATCATCATTTAAAATAACAAAAAGTTCAAGTATCAATAATTTATCGAGATCGAAATTAAAAATGTTTAAAGTTTCGAAAATCAAAAAATTCAAAAAAACAACTGGCAAAGCCTGATAAAAGATTGGGACCGGATTTAAACAAAAAATTTAGTTTGTTCAAAAATTCCTCTTAAAATCCCCATTATTCTTAAACAAAAAATCCAGTCCCTAAAATTTAATTAAATAATTTGACACCCCTTGTTGTAACTCTTCTTCTTCCTCTCCTCCATTTTCTTCATCAAAATTAAATCCATCAAAAATAAGATCAGAAAGGCGAACACCCAATAAACGAATCTTTTTTTTAAACTTTTTTTAATTAAAATTTATTTTTTAATTACCGCATCATGTCTTCCAACCAATTCTTTTTTTAAAAGACCCTCAACTATTGGGTAAAGCATCTCAACATTTTGAATAACAAAATCAACAGATTTACATCTTGTAATGTAGTCAAATGTTGCAAATTTTATCTTAATAAATAAAAAAATTTTTGAAGATAATTAACGAAGAAAAATTAAGGGAGAAGCTGACTCCATTAAAAGTAGGCGAAAGCAGCTCGTTTCTTTTTCCTATTCTCCTTATACTCAACCACGCCTAAGAACTGAAACTTTGAACAGCCATAACTCGACCCAAAGTTATTTTGCAAAAAAAATGGATCACTCCACAATTAAGTCGAGGGTCCTCTTTCGAATAGTACCAAAAGATATAACAAATTCGCACTGACAGTAAACGACGTTCTCTTGTCAGTATAAGGACAAATTTGTAAAATAGTTGCCGACTTCCCTAACCCACTGCCTTCCCCAAAATCAAAAAAATAATCGAACTTTCCAATTTATATGTAAAGATTTCTAAAAAAATCAAATCTAAGCCTATCATAAAATAGAATTTTTTGTAAAGATTTGTGAGTAAAAAATTAAAATAACTAATTTTAATATTTGAGAAAGAAAAAATTGTTTAATTAAAATTTACTCTTACAGATAATGTAGCTGAACGTCCCCCAACAATTCTAGAAGAAGGCAATGATTTTATAAGTTTACGACAAAGTTTGTAAAGGATTTGACAGAGTTCCGTAAAATTTTGTTTTGGAGCAAAAGTTCTTCCAATACCCGCACTTTTTTGGTTACTTCCTAAAATTAATTAATTTAAAAATTTTTGGCTTGAAAATGCTAACATAATAGCCCCCCCCCCCATATTTACCTAAATTAGTTAAATTATAGCTAGATGATAAATATAAAAAATTATGCTAACAAGGAAACGTTGCGAGGTGCCTGACCTAAAAACGGCCGAGACCGGGCTCATTCGATAGAAAATGTGCCCTTTCTAGCAAGGATTTTGAGCCGTTTTTGTTCACATTCTCTATCGAATGAGCCCGGTCTCGATTGGTTTTTAAGTCAAACACCTCGCAACCTTTCCTTGTAAAAATTTATAAAATTTCAATTCTCGTTTGCGCACTAAAATGAAAGAAAAAATCAACCTTTATCAATTTCCCAAGCATCCAAACCCAAAGAAACTTTTAAAAGCCATTCAGAATGTAGATTAGTAAATATATAACGTATTTTTGCTCTTTTTTCAAATAAATCTGAACATTTTTCCACTCCAATAGACTTTAAAATAGCCTCACATTTTGGCCCAATTCCTGGAACTTTTCGAATTTTTAGAGAATTCATAAAATCAACAATTTTGTAACGATCAGCTTCCAAATAAAATTGGCCATTTGGTTTATTTAAATCAGTACAGATTTTGGCAAGCATTTTGTTTGTTGCTATTCCTTTAAAAAATTAAAAATAAATAATTAATTAAAAAAAAAGTTTTTTTGCCCTGATCTAATAGGGTTGACCTTCTCAGCAAATTCTTCTGTTAATAGAAACTCAAAATTTCGTTAAACTGAACAGAAAATTTTCGAAAAAAAATCGACAGCCCTGATCTCAATTATATAATGTAAATATAACCTTTAAAATACCCATAAATACCCCCCCCCATAAAATACTAATTTTGGTCATTAATAATTCATATAAAAAATTAGAAAATCTTAGTTGACCAAGAAAATGAAACATGTAAAATTAATTAAGGACAGAGTACTAACAAAAAATTCATTTTATCTTTTAAAAAATTATCAGTTCTGTCAATGACTAAAGAAGGGATTTAAATCATATGTATGGGTGAAAGTGAATCAACCCACAAGATCAAAAAACTAGAAGACAAGACCCCAAAAATCAAGACCCCAAAAACACAAAGTCAGCAGCTAATATAACATCTAACCCAAAAATCAATTTCAAAAAAATTACCAGCACTACAAGTCAATCCAGTCAATTGTTCAACTTCAAAACGTATTTGATTAACTATATCATCCAATCCAGTACCAAAAACAACATAATCAATTATTGCAATTCTTTCCTTGTTGCAACGATTACAAATTATTACAACACGTTCAGCATCTTCAGAAATATTTTGATTAGAAGGAATTAAAGGAAGTCGACAAATACAATCACCAGTATAACGAATTCTTTTGCATTTAACTAAAATTAAAAAAAATTTTGGAAAAATTAATAGGAATTTTTCTGTACAAGATATATGTAAGTTGCAGACTAGCCGCAGATATTTGTTATTTTGCCTAAATTTACTCATGTCAAATAATTTATTTTTTGTGGGAAATATAGATAGACCTCATTATAAGATTGACTTTGGAGCTGGAAAGTCGTAACTTATAATGAGGGGGCCTTAAATAGAGAGTGCCGCTTAAGCAACCAGTGGACAACAAACTTAAAAAACGTCTTAAGGTTTATCGAATACTGGGTGTATAGAAATTTGAGAACCATCTAAAAATCAGACATTAATTAAAAATTCGAAAAAATAATCATTTAAAAACCTGGAAATATTCTTTGTCCAACAAAATCAGTCAAATCCAAATAGGCCTCATCCAAGCCTCCCATAAACATATTCGGGTCATAATACTGAAATATACTTCTTACAATATTACTTTCCCGAATGTATTTGTGCATATCGCAAGGAACAATTACTAGGTCTGGACATAATTTTTTGGCAATAAATCCTGGCATTGCTGATCTTACACCGAATTTGCGTGCCAAATAGTTTGAAGTTGCCTGTTTTTTTGAAAAAATTACAAATTTTTAAAAAAATTCTCAAAAAGAATTTCTCCCCCAAAAAGGAAAAAGTCCCCCTCTCCTTTACAAGCTTCTTTTTAAACAGAAAAATCCCCTCCCCATCTCTTAATCGGATTCTAAGCCTCAATCCTCAAGTCAAACCTTTTCTTGCTATAACTAGCACCACCCAAATAAAAAAATCCACATACCAACATAGAATCACCACCCACGGCCATTGGAACAGTCCTTAATTCTGGTTTGTCGCGACATTCCACAGAAGCATAAAAAGCATCCATATCTATATGAACCCAAAATTTATTTATGGAGCGATGTTCTTCCATTTTGATAGCTACACTGTCCGCCTTTGAGAAAAACATAGAATAAAAAAATATAGACAATAGTTGTCAACTGAAAACACCATCCCGGAAACTCGAAAATATAATTTAGGAAAGGAGAAAGTAAAAAATAGCTTCCCAAAGTTGGAGTTAAAATGTTTACATTTTACAGCAGGGTAAAAAAGAACTAATTTTCGCTGGTGAAATTCGCGTCCCTCGATCCTTAGAAAAATACAGAAGTGGTCAATCGTTGAAGGGATTCCAAAACTAACACAATTTTGGAAAATAAAAAATAATTTGGACAACAACCCAAAGTATTCAGGATTACTGATAAGAGGACCCCAAGTAAGCTATGGAAGAAAAAATGATGAGCCACAGACCAGGGATCCTGCCGACAAAAAAATTACCGATTTCGGGAATTGGGACGGCAGAATCCCTGCCACAGACTAAGCAAAAGAAAACCCAATTTATAAATCAACAAATTTAAAGTCAAACCTCATCTTCCAGCCTTTTTAATTGTTCATTAGTTGCATAAGAAAGCATTTCACATTTATTCTTAACCCGTTCTTCAACTTGTTTTTCGACTTGTTTTTCATGGTGTTGAAAGTCCTGTCCAGTATTATCCGCAATTATTCTTTTAATTCGATTCATATCGAGAGAAGCCATTCCTGCCTTGTCTCCACAATAAGTTAAAGCCATTTTTGTGTGTTAGTTTTTGGTGTTAAAAAAGTTAGCCTTAATTTAAAATTAAAAAAATTTAAAAAAGCAGTAGAATATACAATTAAAAATATTAAAAGAAAATTACTAAAATTCAAATTTTTTAATAAAATTATTTTTTAAAAATATTTTCAGAATAAAAAGTCTGACATTTGTAATAGATAACCGATAAAATATTCGTGAGCAATAAATTTTATAATTTTAAAAATTTGATTTAGACAAAAAGAAAACAACGCAAAAATATGTGACAATAAACTTAAAGAAAATATTTTAACGAAAATAAAATGTACTAGAGTTCGAGCTGGGATAAAAAAAAATTGGCTCTACTGCAGTTTAAGAGCCCAATAGCGCTTTGAGTTCAATGAAAAGTAGGGGGCTAGGTCGGCTTTTCAATGTGAAAATTTGTAAAAAAAGATAAGGTTATGTATCTTGTGCAGAACCCAGCGACCGTTGACGCAGGTAAGACTTGTGCCGCAAAAACGCGAGTTTTTGCAAAAGCGTCTCGCTGACTTCCCATGGGTGTACTTGGCTCGTCAAGCTGATACAGAAATAAACAAACAAAACCTATTGGCGTCGACGACTTGTGCACTCATAAACTTTTCAGGTACTTATTTAGTTTCCCCCCCCCCCAGTCAGTTTTTTTGAAAAATATGTAAAAATGGTCAGTCTGAACAACAATTGTAGAACCCATCGAGCTGAGTCGAATGACACCAAAATCAACAAAATCCGACTTGATTTGACCGAAATACAGACCCCTGAAAATTGAACAACCATGGGGGCGATTTTTCGAAATAAAAAAAGTTTACCCAAATGATAGCTCATTCGAAAGAGCTCGTCGAGCTGAGTCGAATGAGACCAAAATGAACGAAATCCGACTTGATTTGACAAAGTTATGACATTATTTAGACTTACCGGAGTCAACGACTTATGTCATAACTTTGTCAAATCAAGTCGGATTTCGTTGATTTTGGTCTCATTCGACTCAGCTCGACGAGCTCTTTCGAATAAGCTATCATTTGTATAGATTTTCGTCTTTATGATTTTGTGCCCCTGTGGTTTAGGGGTCTGTATTTCGGTCCAATCAAGTCGGATTTTGTTGATTTTGGTGTCATTCGACACAGCTCGATGTGTTCTACAATTGTTGTTCAGACTGACCATTTTTACATAATTTTCGAAAAAACTGACTGGGGGGGGGGAACTAAATTAGTACCACTTTTCATTGGACTCCTAAAGAGTGATTTGGACTCATAAACTGCAGTAGAGCCAAAAAATAATGAAAAAATAAGTCAAAAATCCTCCAAAAATTAAATAAATTCTTAATTTTTAATACTTTTTTCTGCCAACAATTCATTAAATCTGTCACACATTTTTTGCATTTCTTCATTTGGATTTTGCCAAACATATCTTGAGAGAAGTTTTAATGATTCTATTGCTTGTTCAATTGAAATGAGAGGCGATTTGACTTTAAGTTGAATAAATGAAGGTTCAGTCATCATTTCTTTAACCTCTTTTTTTGGAGATAAATGCTGGCTAATCTCTTCTCTTGTTTCCAATTCTCCGTTTTCTTTTTCCTAGAAATTTTTTTGTTAGATGTAAAAGTTAGTTTTCAGGAATGTAGAGGGGGGGGGAATCCCGGGCGGGATCCCGGATAATTTTTTTCGGGATTTTTGAAATTCGGGATTTTTTCGGGATTTCTCCCTCGGGATCCCGTCCCGGCATCGGTTAAGAAAAAAAATCACGACTCGGGATCCCGGAAATGCGATTTTGCCGGTCTCTAGTAAGAAATCCACCAATAATCAAAAAGGGAAACGGGATAAAATATAATTATTCTCTAAAACTCTTTTCTCACGCTTCAATCTCTCTAAAAAATGAAACGCTTTTTCGAGATTTTTGAGGTCTACCTGTGGGTAATTAAGTGTGCTGACTTTGAGTGAGTTCAAATTTTATTTATTTATAATCATCCCTAACCAGAATTCGAGCTCGAAGAGAGATTTAGATTCCTCTCCGGGATTTGAAATAAAAAATGAGAAAAAAGGGTCTCACAAACCCGACTATTACCAATTCGTCCTCAGAAAAACACATTTCAGCATTTAATAATTCTTCAACTTCACCCAATTCCATAGGTTGTTTTCGGTAGAAATTTTTTAAAGAAATAGAATATCGTTGTTGAAATCCGCATAACCACCCATTAGAGGCTTTGAAGTCTGTAATGTTGAATTCTTGAGCTAGATCTTTTGCCTTTTCCTTTAAAATAATTAGAATAATGTTTAAAATCGCCGGCTTTCTAAAAAAAGATTTGATGTTTTTACGGGATGCTTTTTGGATTCTGTAAATTCTCCCAAGAAAATGAGAAACTGTTAACAACTCTTACAGGAATTGTTAACTTGCAGGTAACTTTGTGGGTAATATTAAACCTGACAGACCCTTTTTTTCCTCCCCAACTTTTTCTTATATATCTACAGAATGATCAGCCTTCTTCCTTTCATTCCAATTGCCTTTCTATATTTTGCCTATAAACAATCATAAGTAATTAATTTTTGTTCCTTGGGAAAATTGGGATGGAAGAAGGGAAGAAATCTGACCATTCTGCAAATATATCTAAAAAAAGATTTGTTGTGTTTTTCGGTAGAAATGCAACTTCAGTAATCCAGTTGCTGAGGCCTCAATAATGTTTTTTAGAGGAAAAAATGGAGTCTGTACCACCCCTTTTTGTTACTTAATATCAATAATTTTGTCTTAAATAAACCTAAATAACCTTTAAAAGTGGGCCAGTCAATGGAATTTCTAGTTTCTTCAAAGATTTAATCCAGCTACGCAATGCAACTTCAATTTTTTCATATTTAACAGGTCGACTAGAAACTTTTTTTGATTTATCCTTTTTTTCAATTTTTTTAAAAATTTTGCCTTTTCTTTGTAATCCAGTTGCTGAGGCCTCAATAATTTGTTTTTTAGTTTCAAGAGTAATATTAACCATAATATCTAGTCTAAAAAATTAAAAAAAGTCTTTAAGGTTGTGAAAAATTTTTTGGGTAAAATTAAATGGTATTTGAGAGTTATCCCTGACTAGTTTTTGCGGACTCAGACCAATTGTACTTTACCGGGCGATTTGGACAATTTATTGTCAATCGAAAGAGCTCAGCAAGCTTAGTCGAATGACACCAAAACGGAAACAACTTGGGCCGAAATATAGGTCTCGAAAGGGTAGAAAACCATAGGGTCAAGCTCATTTTTGGGTTAGAAATTCGAACATACTTTTTTGGCCGTGACGACATTTTGACCATTTTTTAGCCAAGCGAGATTTTAACGTGCCGATATTTTCGATGTTTTAACCCCCTTTTAGCCTTGCCGAGATTTTAACGCGTCGATATTTTGTTCACACACGGATAGCCAAGAATATGCCAAAATGGTGTAATTTCGAATTTTATTGCATTATTTCTGTTTTCCTTTGCTCCATTTACGCTTTTTGTTCTTGAGATTGAAACCATTTTTAATTTGCTATTTTAAGTGTTTTTCGGTTAATTATTAAATTTATTCAATTTCTTAAGAGTTTATTTATTTATTTTCTTTCTTCTTCGTTTTAAGTTTTTAGACATTGAGTATTTTTATTTTGAAAATATTTTTCAAATTATTTTTAAGCTCTCTTTAAATTTGACTAGAAAAAGCTTTTGAGGCTTGACAATATTAAATAAAAGAGACGACAGACGGTTAGACTTTTATGTTTTGACGCCATTATTTCGATTTTTGTTGTTAGCAGGATTGTTTTTGGGGTTTTGGCGAGAGCTCTCTTTTAGTAGCGTTTACATGTGCTTTCCTTAAATAGATTTTCCCACGACATAAAATCGATAATTTTAATTAACTCGCTTGGCTTTTAATTTTTTTTGAAATTATTTCTATGCGAGAATTTTTATTTCCTTATTAAAATCCCTGACTTTATTTTAAAATTATTTTCTCTTAAAATTTGTTTTCAGTTGTTTGCAAGTCTTTATATATTCTTATTTGAAAGCCTTATTTGTCTTCTAAAAATGGCTCGTACCAAACAAACGGCACGTAAATCAACTGGAGGAAAAGCTCCACGTAAACAACTTGCTACCAAAGCTGCTCGCAAATCTGCGCCTTCAACGGGAGGGGTTAAGAAACCTCATCGTTACCGTCCAGGTTCTTTTTTCAAAAATTTTTTGTTTTCCAAACTTATTTAAAGGGACTGTTGCCCTCCGTGAAATTCGTCGATACCAGAAAAGCACAGAACTTTTAATTCGTAAGCTGCCATTCCAACGCCTTGTTCGAGAGATTGCGCAGGACTTCAAGACTGATCTTCGTTTTCAGAGTGCTGCTATAGGAGCTCTTCAGGTTTAATTTTGTGTAGTTTAGACTGGCTTGGTTATGATTAATTCCTATTAGTGTGTATGTTTGCATCATTTCTTAACTATTCTTTAGTTATGGTGGTTTTGACTTCGACCCACGTCAGCCCTCCACTCGTTACCCACAATAAGATAGGGTTCTAACCATTATATTCCTTGTAGCTTCTTCGGGTCCTCTAATTTGCATAAATTTATTTACCAAGAGAATTTCTTCAAAGGCCCATTTCATAGACCCATCACAATATCATTGAAATCGGGACCAAATAAACAATTCTAGGTTTAAAAATGGGAGAGAGGAAAACTGGATTTTATTTTAAACCTTATTCTTACACTTAGTTAGTTTGTGGGAAGGGGTAATAACATCACCTCGTTTATATTGTCCCCAATTTCCTTACTACTTTGAGCTAATTATTTAAATTCAGGAAGCATCTGAGGCTTATTTGGTCGGACTTTTCGAGGACACCAACTTGTGTGCTATCCACGCTAAGCGTGTCACTATTATGCCAAAAGGTTATTTTTTAATAAATTGAACTTTAAATTATTTCTTAAATTTTAGATATTCAATTGGCTCGTCGGATCCGTGGCGAACGTGCTTGAGTTGAATAGATGGATGAATCTCTTGTCTTTATTGATATTATTTAAATGATGAACCTTTATTAAGTAAATTAAACCACCATTGTAAGGTATAAATTGAATATTTCATTTATATTTTTCTGTTATTCCAAAATTATTGGGACTTTTTCGTATGTAAGCTTGTCGAAGTTCAAATTTTTTGTTTCTTTACGATTAAATGGTATCCTAGAGGATTCGAGATGCCCGTAATAAACTTGGAATAATATTAAAGTATATCCTCAAATTTCCTCAAATATTGTAATCATTTAACGTCTATTTGAAAATTTTCATTTTTATCTGATCATTCAAAAATTCATAGATTGTTGTATTTGAACAAATAGACGTCAATCTCTTCAATTTATTTTTCTAGTAAAGTTTAAATATTCGATTTGGCTTTGATTAAAATCTTGTCAATTATATTTCAAAGGATTTCCAATTATTTTAAGGGTGGCAAGAGTAAGCAAAGAATCGGGAGTCGGTTTATTATCTAATTTTAATGAGTTTTGATTTTTCAATTCCCGATTTAATGCTGAAAGAATAATTTCCATAATTTTTATTTTCTAGATATGATAAAGCTTTAAAAATTTTAATGGGGGATCGAATTCAGAGCAACACTCCAAGCCCAGTTTTGCCTTCAGATATTCTTTCAAAACGAGTGTGGCAGGTTTATGGTCCAATGTCTTTACGCGTATTGTTAACCCGCATTGAGTTACGTGTTGGGAAACGTGTTGATTGGGTTGGATTTTTTAAAATCAAAGATATTTTACATCTAAAGTTGATATCTGGACCGTCGGGTGCAATTAATATCTTCAGAAGAGATGCTCCGCCTTCATATATTGACAAGCCTTTAGCTGTCGCGGTTTCAGAAAGTGAACGTGCTGATAAATTCCGGCGAACGGCCACAAGAGACGGAAACGTTATAAGTTTTAAAGTAATTTTAATTTAAAATCAAGTGGAATCTATTACGAGTTCTCGGCTCGAGTTTTGTTGAAGTATTAAGTAAGGTGACGTGGGACAGGGAGCCGCAATAGATTCCACTAGAATTTATCCAAAAATTTTAAGAAATTTACGCCAGAAATTTTTAAACGACGGTGTTTCTAAAAAATCGAAATATTCAAAGATTTTTCTAAAAACGTTGATTATTTCTAGCCTATATGCGAAGAGTGTGAAAATGCATCTTTATTAGAGCCTGGGGTTGATAATTGCCAATCTCACCAAATTTGTCAACATTTTAGCGCTGATAAATCTAGCAAAACAACTAAAGTTGCTGTAAATAATCGAATGGAAATTTTTGGGCGCCGTGCTAAAAGATCTCGTAAAACTTTTACTTTGGGCTCAAGAATTAGGCTAAAGGTTAATTTTTACTTGTAAATTATTATTTAGGTCTATTGAAAATTAAAATTATTTATAGGCTTTATGTCAAAACGCTGATGGAGAACAGGATAGTCTTGTTGTTGTGGTAGGCTTGTTGCGCATGTAAAGTTTGCATATAGTCAAAATAGTTTTTTTAAATTTTCTTTTAATTCCCCGTTACGCTACTCTAGACATTTATGGCAACGCTCCTTTTTCCTTCTCATTCGTCAATAATCGTGTCAGGCTAGTCTAAAATACGGCAGTCACAATTTTCGTATGCCCCCCAGTCCGGGCTTTGGTATAAAACAATAAATGAAAAGGTATCTGGGGTAAAATTAAGTGGAAAGATTTGACCATTGTTTCCAGACAATGGAAGGAAAAGGAGTTATCAAGAAAAATCCTAAAAAAAATAAATTGAAATTTTACCACACATAACGGCAATGCAATCTTTACATTTGTTTATATTTCTTATTTTCTTTTTGATTTTGCTAACTACGATTTTTTAATTTAGTGGAGTCCTGATCAGCAAGAATTAGTAGCTGTAAAGTAGAGAAAATTTAATTTATTGGATATTTTTTAAGTACTATTTTGACTCGAAAATTTTTGTCTTTCAATTTAAAAATATTTTTGGTTTAAAATTTTTTTGACACTACGGCGCAAAAATTTTTTCAAACCCGTATAACTCGTGAAGTCTTAAAGTATGCTGTTTCTTATGAATATAAATTTTATTTTTTATCTCCCAAAAAATAAGACTTATAATAACTTAAAGACTTCACGAGTTATACAGTTTTGAGAAAATTTTCATAAATTTTGCGCGTCATTGTAGACATTTCAATGTATTTTAACTTATTTTTTTACTTAAATAAAATTTTACCTCCCTTAACCACTAAAATTTTTTAATATTTTGTTAAAGTTTTTCTAAACTTGACGCAATTTACCTATTTTATTGTATTCCTTCTCTAAAATTTTTTAGTTCAATGTTTGGTGGTTATCTAAATATGGTTATGTCTCTACTATTTTTGGATGTTTTTGTATTTTCCCAACAAAATGAGAAGAGAAATTTAACAACAACAACAAATAATTTACCCAAAATAGTTAGGCAAAGACTTCTTGAAGATGCACTTCTTCCTTGTAATTCTTCAAATGGAACGGGTCTGGAATTAATTGAATGGTGGTATAAACGAATTGGTGGAGTTTATATTGGAGCTTTTAATGCTACTTCAAGGTTTGTATTTTAAAAATAAAAAATTTTCCGACCCTCTGTCCTTTACCAGCTTTAATCCGTTTCCCGTCATTTAATTCTCCTTGTAGGCACGTTGCACACTGATCTTATTATATCACAAGTGCTTATCCAGGACGTAGTTTTTAGAGATCGGACTGGATCTGGATCCAGTCTGGATTTTTCCTTGATCCAGATCAATAATCCTTTCCAGGTTACTAACCTAAATCCAGATCCACGGTTTTTAAAAATATCGATCTTTAGTAGATTTAGAGCGGCTAAAATTGTTGTACGCCTAAATTTTGGCGTTTGTACTGCAAGCGAAAAATTTGAAGATTTCTGAAGATTCTAAAAGAAAAATTTTTTTCGATCACCGTCTTCCAATATTTTTCTCTTTTTATCCATTCCGGGTGAAATATTTTTATTAGCAAATTCCTGTTAACAAATTTCAGATCCTAAAATTGTTTTTTATTTTTTGATACAACCCTAACTATTTTATATTTAGACATGTACATACAAACTGGACAAAGGATGGGGCTTATCAAATAGCAGATAATGGAAGTTTAATAATTCATAATGTTCGTAGAGAACTTGTTGAGAGGTTTTCTTTTTAATTTTATATGATTTTGACTTTAATTTAATTTTTTAAAAAAGATATGAATGTCTTTCAAAATTTTTAAATGGAACACAAACAAGAGATTCAATCCTTCTTCGTCTCGACTTTTCTTTTTGGTACGCACCCGAACCTTTTTCACTTTTTTATGGTTCGTGTATATTTGCTCTGATTTTCTGTGTTGCTTCTTTTCTTTTGAATATTTTTTGGATTTTGATTCGTTGGAGTGTTTTGAGTTGGATTAAAAGGACAGGTTTGGGTTTAAATTATTTAAAAAGTTGTGGGGAAACTGGACTTTTTTCTATTTTTTAAAATTTAAAGTTGGGATCGATAATTTATCAGTTTTATGATTTTTTAGAATTTTTTCTGCTTATTTTCAATTATTTTTACTTAAATATTTCTACACTCTATAAGTCTGTTTTCTTCTCTGTGTACTGCTTGCTTTTTATTACATAGTAGCAGGGACAAAGATTTTTTCAATTTTTAAAACTTGACTTTGAAAGGGGATATTAAATTAAAGGGGTTGTGGTTTTTCTCTGGCTCCAAAATCCGAAACTAACTTTTTTGCTTATTAGGAATTTGACTTTTTTAGAACGTTTGAATCGTGTCCGGTCTTTGGAAAGAAGTGGGCTTAGGAAGAAAGGGGCAAAAGAAAAGTCTTATAATTCTTTTGATGTAACTTATTAAGGATTGGATATTTTTTTAGATTTTTTCTTGGTCTCATCCAATCCTTTATCTCCTATTAAAATTAATACTTTTAATTTATTTTTACCTCATTTTTTGTTTTTCTTTTTATCTTCTACTTAATAAATAAATTTAATTTGTTTGTTTTTTAAAATTTTAAATTCATTAATTTTTTATTTATATCTTTTGCTTGGATTTTTTGGATTTTTATTTTTTAAATGTTTTTAAAAAACATTGTTAGGATAATTTTTGTTAGTTTTTTTTATTTTTTATGTTAGAGTTTTTGGCCCTATCCCAAAAGACGGTCGGGATCGTTTTTTCATTACCTGCAAGGAAAGGAAAAATGGAAAGAAAAATGAGACGGATGAACACGGCCAAACAAAACACGGACGTCCGTGTTTTGTCTGTCTGGAGTCCATCCGTCTCATTTTTCCTTTCCTTGCAGGTAATGAGCTTCTCTAGGAAGATACCGGAGTAGGTCTTTTGGAATTTCCCTTTTCTTTTCTAATATATCCAAAGATTTTTAAAATTTTTATTCTTGTAGAACGTTTGAGCCGTGTCCGGGCAATGCTTGTTGCTATGGAAAAATATAGACAAAAACATATGGAATCGTTACATGAAGGCTACAAGTATTTTTTTTAATTTTTAAAGAAAATATTTGGCTTTTCTAATTTCAAGTCGCCGAATGTCAACTTTTCGAGAAAATTACCACACTCAAGTTGAAACTATTCGTAACTCTTATTTGGAGTCTTCTGAGCGTTTTCGAGATTATAGACAAGCCCAAAAGGAGAATGTTCAACAACACTTGGATGGGTATTATCAACAGGTTTTTAAGTTATAATTGAAAAACAGGTTTCGAAATTTTCGAGTTTCGCAATTTCTTTAGTACTATTTGTATTTTTAAACTTTTCGATTACCAATTTTCGAGTACTTTTTGGAAACAGCTCTTTGATAGGAAAAATGAGGGAGGCTCACCGCTCCAAAATAACTTTTCGATTTGGGGGTCGGAGCCAAAAATTTGTAATAGGTTATCGACCATGCTCTACACGATATAATTTTTATTTAAAAATTTTTACTGACAGTTTGGAAGGTTCCCTTGTAAGTTAGAAAATACCTTAAATTCACAGCCTCAACTTTACCCATTCTTATTCACTTTATCCTCTCTCCCCCATTATTTTATCTCGCTAATCACAGTTAAAACAAGTGTCCGCAAATTAAATATTCAAATTTTTTTAGATATCTCGTCTTCGTGAATTTGGCCATAAAAGAGTTGAACATTTATGGGAAAGTTATGAAAAGAGTGTAAATGCAGTAAGAACCTTTACTTTAGAACAACGTTTAAAAATATTAAATCAATACAAAGTAAAACAACGTTATGTAAATAAATTGTTGGAAGCTATTGGGACAGAAACTAATGTTGACATTATTAGTAGAAAGGTAAAAAATTAGGGATAAATTTTATAAGAATTTTTTTATAAAATAAGAAATTTTAGTACCACTAGGAAGAAATTGAACCCTTGACCTTCTAGTAGTTATTGCTACTTGTTTCCCTTGCCATATTTAGTGGAGGGTATACTGAATGGGCTAACAAGACGATTACAAATAATTTTGTTTCCTCTCGTTGTTATGCCCACACTTTTAGAAAAAATTAATACATAACCCCATCGCCGGGTTGCATGGTGGCACAGCAGTTGTGCTTTGTAATCAGGTCCTTTTATGAGGGTTTTATTCCATTTTCATCCTATTAATTTTGAAATGAAATTGAAATTAAAAAATTAATTGTCCACTAATATTTGGTCGCAAATTAAAGAATTTTTTGATTGTGAGAGAATTTCTATTCTTGCTCCCAATTATCCACAATAAAATAAGCAAATTATTATTTACTTGTGTGCTGTGGAAAAATTCATTGGATGGAAGATGAAATAGAACCATCATGGAAAGGGCCCAGACCGAAGCACAACCGACTGTGCCAACGCGAAGATCGTTATTTTATTCTTTTATGTTTTTTCTGCAAGTACGAAACACAACACATTTTTAAAAATTTAGAATTCAACAGATTAAATCTCCCAACTTTTTCCCTTTTTAAAAACATTTTTCTCTTTAAAAAATTACTTTTCCTCCTCTCTCTTTTAGGAAGCAGCAATTAGAGAAGTATTGGGTGAAGAACAACCTCCCCCAACATTTTGGTCTTCTTCCCACCATCCATCAAATAATTCAAATCTTCGCCGTTCAGCTTCTTTTCATTCTCTTCCGGAATTTCCTTTAGTAGATGAAATTTTAGAAGAAGAAGAGCAACAAATTATTTATGTAAATTTAACAGAATTTAATAAAAATAAAGAAGAAATTGAAAAAGAAGAAAAAGAATATCTTTTAGCTTTACAACAACCTTCTACATCAACAGCATCTTCTATATTACCTTTATTTAATAATAATAAAATTCAGGCTTGAAAAACTCAAAACGGGTCTTTTTTAAAATTAAAAGAATCTAAAAAAAAGAAAAACACTTCCCAAAGGAAAAATTTTTTTTGTAAAAATTAGAAGAATTTTTTGTAAATTTATTTTTCAAAATTTCCAAATTCTCATTTTACTCATTTTTTTTCTAAATTATTAGTGACTGGAGTGACAAAGAAATTGTTTTTTTTTCTGTAAAATAAGATGGTAATTTTAGCTCTGTTTGTATTAAATTAACCCTATTAAGTGATACATATGCCTTCTTTAAAGAGGAGCAGGCCAAGGTACCGCAGAGCTATAACTTCGTTCAGATGTTTGAATCCTGGACACCCTGATATGATTTGATGCACCTCGACTAGCTGAATTGAACCATACCGGAGCGTCCCAAATTCGACAATTCTATAAGTAACAGCTCTGCAATACCTTGGGTGTACCCCTTTAAAGAGGACATATTGAGGGGAAAAAGTTTGGAATTTTTTAAATGAAAGTATAGTCAGGGAGAGGTTAAAGAAGTAAGGGGGGGGGAGATGAATAAATACCAGATATCAAAAAAGAACTGGGGTATTCATTTAATAACTCGATGGTATTTGGATGGATACCTAAAAACAAAACTTTTTTTTATTTTTTTCTTTTCTTTAATTTCTCTTTCCAAGCTAATTATTCGAGAAAATAATTGTTATTTTAACGGAAACTTTTAAAATTCTATGAAATAAAGAGAAGGGGGGGGGAGGTGGTGACAGTTTTTCTCTCCTTGTGTGGTCATTACAAATAAACTTTCAATTTTCCCAAGCACATTTTTAAAAGTTAAAAAGTGCAAGTAAACAAAAACAATTTAAATTTTTTAGCTAAATTTTTTGAATTGCTCCTTTGAAAATTAAATTTATTTGTGTCATATGTGAGGCTATATTTTACACACTTCTTCCTTATAGACAATTTTTAGAGTGAGGATAATAAAATTTGGAAATATTTACCTTTAATAGTTCCTATATTAAATAAAAATTAATTTTCGTTTTTAAGTTTTTTATTAAAATTCAGAGACCCTAAATTTCATTTAAGTTAACTTTCTGAATTCATTTCCTTCTGGTCTGAATCTAAAATTTTTACGGATTTTTTAATTTTAAGTTTAATACATATTAATAAAATTTGACTAATTAACAAAATTAATTTAAATTTATTCGGATCTTTAATTACTTCCATAAATGAATTTTATAGGTTAATCACCTCGGGCTTTAATTATAGTTCCTATTATTAGAGGAGACTTTTAGAAGATAAATGAAAACCGGAAAATTTTAAGAATTAATTTCATTTTAAAATTAGAAAGATAATTTTGAATTTTTTCCTTTTTTTTATTCTCACAAATTTCTGATTTTTATGTTTTTTTGTATAATTTTTAATTTTTTAAAATTGCCCAAAATTTACATTAAATATTTAAATATTAATAAATTATAAAATGTCTGTTTATATTTTTTTCTTTTTTTTTTAATTTAAAAAAGTCTGGTTTAGCAAAAAATAACACATTTTAATATTTAATTTTTGTTGAAAAAAAATCATTTATTCCCCCTCCAAAATTATTTAAGGGGGTAACAGGTTGTTTCGTAAAACCTCTAGAATTTTAAATAATTAGCTCAAAAAATATTGCTTATTTTCTTTTAATTTTCTTATAAAAAAGCTAAATTTTTAAGAAAACAAACTTAGCGTTACTTTAACATTTTTGTAAGAAATAAAAAATAAAATTTATTTTATTATCACGTATTTATTTCTAAGAAAAACTTTTTTTTTGTGAATAAATTTTTTGAAAAAAAAATTTTTTTCTTTTAATTTTCTCAAAATTTATTAATTAACCTTTTAATGTTGTAAACAATTTTTTTTAATTTTTAATTACGTATTTAAAAGGTAAAATTTATTTTAAATGATGGGAATATAATCTTTCGTTTTCACGGCATGTGACTCACGTAAACTTAAACTTTTTGTACTTTTTATTGGCATTTTTTCACCTTTAAGTTTGTTGACAAGCATTTAAATAATTTTGAGGGTGTGCGCCAAAAGTTGGTTTTTTGGAAACGCAAAAAAATTTTTTTTTGTAATTTTTTAGAATAAATGTTTTCGTTGAAAAAAACAGCTGAAATTTTTTGTCACTGTTCCGATTTTTCAAAATTGTCTATTTTTTGGCTAACTTTATTAAAATTCTTTTCAAGTTTTCGCCTGCGGCTTCGGAGCAAATGAAAGGTTTTTTTGAGATTAAATTAGAGCGCTATGTATCGTTGCCCCGAATTCACCAATCTCTTCTTGAAAAATCTTCTAAAATAATTTCTTGTAAAACAATTTTTGACCTCTTACCAGTACATTGTACTTTCACATTTGAAAATAATACATAAATCCAAAATTATTATTTATAGCACTGTATGGGAAAATTTTTTTAGATTTTATTTCAATTTCCGCTTTCCGTCTTTTTACTTTCGATTTCCAGCATCTCTGCAGGTTCCGATTCCCGACAGCTTTTTTCTTTTTCCGACAACCCCCCCCCCTCCTTTGAATTTCAAAAACGATGTCTTCTTTCCCCCTTTAAAAACGTAAATTAGCATTTTTTGTTTATCCCTTGGGAGATTTTATGGTTCGATGAAATGTGTAAAGAAAAGAAAAAGGAGAAGGGGAGGGAATTGTTGTTAGTGGTTAACGTAGATAAAGGAAAGGGCATTTCCTTTTTCTTTAAAGAAAATCTTTGTTTAAAGTTAAAGTGCTAATTTAAATAAATTTACTTTAAAGGTATATAGGCAATTAAAAAATTTTAAAAATTTTTGTTTAAAAGAAAAAGCAATTTAAATGACGATAAATGAGTAAATAATGTTTGAAAATTTCGAATATTTAAATCAAAAATTAAAAATTAATTTTATATACCGTAAATGCTCTTATTAACGCGATGGGCTCTATACAGTTATTCTACTCTCCTTTATTTTTTATTTTCCGGAATTTTCCGGATTCGAGTAAAAATGAGGGTTAGATATGGGCTTCTAATAGAGCCGGGCTTTAATTAGAGCATTTACGATAAAACTTTTTTCCTAAGAAACACCCTTCTACGAAATATTCAATTCTTTTCAACCTCCCTTCTTAATTTACCTCTCCTTCCTCCCTCACCCATTCCTTCCCAATTTATCCTTTTCCAAATTATCCCCCCCTCCCCCCTTTCCCCAATTTATTCCCAACGTATTTTTTAACAGAAATGCTTGTTCTTTTATTTTTTTATTTAATTATTTTTCCCTTTTTTATTTCCATAATTACAATTAAAGGAAGTTTTTATTTGGCCATTAAATATTTTTTAGTAGTAGTAATTGTGTAGAATTTTTTCCTTTTTTCCTTTTTTAACTTTAAAGGACTTCCCAAAAGTATTTTCTTTTTAATAAAGCTATTTTTATTTATATATTTAAATTGTACGCAGTTTGCTATTTATTAATGACTTTATTACTCTTTTCCATTTTTGTCCATAATTTTTTTTGGATTTAAAAAATTCTTGATTTGGCATTTTTAATAAAAAAATATTCTATTTTTATTAACGTCATTTTTTGTTTGAAAAATTTCTAATGCAAATACAAACACAAAACACAATTATTCTACTCTTCTTTATTTTTATTTTTCGGAATTTTCCGGATTCGAGTTAAACACAAAATGTATAACATTTTACAATCAACCCTCATTTTTAGATCCAACCAATATTAAATAGCTCTCATTATAAAGTTAGATTTTTTCAGATTTGGTAATGGATATGGATTTCGGTATAAGTATCCAAATATTTACAGAGAATATAGTCGGATATCAGCGGCATTTTTAAATTATCTGTATCCGTATCCATTACCAATTCTAGATTTTTTCATCTCCAAAAGTGTATGTAAAAATGAGATTTCGAATAATGAAGATAAAATAAATTGAAAGAAAAAATTTTTGGATTGAAATTAGGGATAAATTTAAATAAAACATTAATTTCCCAAAATATTTCTAAATTCAAAAATTTCTAAAAAATTGTTTCAATCCTCTTTTAGAGATTTCTTTTTTTAAAAGATGACCTATTTTTGTGTTCTCTGAAATTTTTTTTAATTTTTTTAATTACGCAACTAAATACTTAATTAAATAATTTAAAAATAATATATACAGATTTGTCTCGGAAATTTTCTAAGACTTCCTTCAGTTAAACATAAAATGGCAAAGAAAAAACTTTGTAAGGATTCTTTAAGCTCATTTAAACGTCATTTAATTTTTTTAATTAAAAAATATTTTTAATATAAATAAAGGTAAATAAATGTTTAAATTTTATTTTATCTCTTTTATCTGACCTTCCCCTTTTTCTTTAATGAATAATACGGAAATATTTTTATTTATTTAATATATTTTTTATTTGGTTACTAAGGGGATATATTGAAAGGAGTTTTTAGTTTGTCGTTTAAGTTTACTTTTATTTATATTTTTTAATTCCATACAATGCTGGATACAAGCGAAAAAAATTAATTCAAAAAATTGACAACTGCGTTCAGAGCAAGGCCGGATTTTCTTCCGCATCCGCCTTCCGTCTGCCGGTTTTTTATTTTATTTCGAATTCTTCCGCTTCCGCCTTTTAAAATTCAAAATTCTCCAGCCCTGGTCCTATAGAACAAGGTTATCGGTTCATAATCGAACTAACAAATTGAGGATTTCCAGTTCCGTTCTTCGATTCTGTTCCCAAATATCCGAAGATTTTCAAGCACCGACAACCCTAACCAAAAAACATTAACTGCCCAAAGACAACCAACTAGAGATCGAGCTGGACCTGGACCAAGGCCTGGGATTTTCCTATACCCAGAGTCCAGGCCCAGGCATTTTTTGACCTTCCTTGGTTTTTCCTGGACTACAGGTCCAGGATCCAGTCTAGGCCAATAAATCAAACTCCAGAGTCCAGGAACAGGTTGTTAGGCTTTTCAAAAATTTTGATCTCTAAACCAAACAAATAAATTCAAGTTTATCACATTAGAGGTTCCAAAATTCTTTTAAAATAAATTTAAATTATTTATCACCTCTCTAAACATTTTTTCTTTCATTTTTAATTAAATAAAAAATATAAAAAAGGCGTCAAATAGCCCACACAGAAAAAATAAAATTAAAAAAAGAATTTTTATTTCCATATTACATTTCCTTGTATTAATTTTATTTGCATATACTAATTGGTTTTTACTTCTAAAATAAATAAAATACATAAATTAAATTAAAAAGACCAATAACCAGAAGACAGATGGAAATAATTTTTTTTCTAAGGAAAGAAATTTTTTATTAAAAAGATTTTTTGGTGAATTTAGAGAAATTGTTTTAATTTGAAATAAATTTTGAAGGTTTTGACTTTTGAATTAACCAAAAAAAATTTTTATTCTTATTCTATGGAGGGATGGGGGGGGGGGGCGCAAGAGACAATCTTCACGCCCACCCCTGATGTCCATTTTAAAAAGTGGAGGATAATTTATTATGAATATTTTCGGGTTGAAATTTTAAAACCATCCACTTTAAAAAAATACCTATTTTTCTTTAATGCACGAATAAAGGAGATAAACTTTACAAAAAATTTATCTCTTAAAATTTATAAAAAAAGTTACTAGTCTATACAAAAAGATAACCTAGTCGCTTAATTAATAGCAATTTATGTAATAATATAAAATTAAAAATTCTCATAGTTTAAAAAAAGTATTTAGTCTATATACGTAATAATTAAATTTATTTTATATTTTTTATTCACACAATAATTTCTATTTAACTCAGTTTCAAATTTAGCTCAATTTCATTTAATATAAATTTTATTATTTTTACTTGAAAAATTTGTAAAACTTTATACATATTCTCTCCTTTAAATACGCGATAATAATTTAATTACTGAAAATTATATGTACTTTTTCCGGAAAGTTTTATATTATTAGGTATTTCATATAAGTGTATAATACAGTGCCGGAAAAAAAGATAGGACCAGACGCACACATTTTTCTTTCTTCAAATTATCTTTCGAATTTTAGTCTTTTAAGAAAAAAAATTTGTCAGAAACTATTGATTAATTTATCCTCTATCAAATGAGTACAAATATTCCCTTTTTTATTAGCAATTAATACTACAAAACATTAAAAACAAATACTACTCAATTTTTGGGGTGGAAAAAAAGATAGGACCAGACTAGAAATATCGACTTTTGTTCGGTCAAAAATTCTATAAAAATTTTTATGAACATTTCCATCGATACTAAGTAGAAAATTAAAAAGAGCGAAGTCTGTAACTTATTTCTTCACCGAGATCTCACATCTCGAAAATCAACGGAAAATTGGGGTGCAGTACTTAAAAAAATATTTTAACCCCCTAGAGCTTAAATTAAAAATTTTATTTTAGGCCTACCTGAAAGCCCATAAAATTTACTACAAAATAGTCCGGAAATTAATCTTTCTAAAAAAATATCCGTTTAACCCTAGTCCACTTTACATTAAAAGTGACAAAATCTCCCAAAATACCCCAAAAAAGATAACTTTCTCAATTTCCCGGTCCGTATCTCCATGAATTTTTTAACGGAAATTTTAAACGTGAGATATTCTTGTAGTAAATTTTATGGGCTTTCAGGTAGGCCTAAAATAAAATTTTTAATTTAAGCTCTAGGGGGTTAAAATATTTTTTTAAGTACTGCACCCCAATTTTCCGTTGATTTTCGAGATGTGAGATCTCGGTGAAGAAATAAGTTACAGACTTCGCTCTTTTTAATTTTCTACTTAGTATCGATGGAAATGTTCATAAAAATTTTTATAGAATTTTTGACCGAACAAAAGTCGATATTTCTAGTCTGGTCCTATCTTTTTTTCCACCCCAAAAATTGAGTAGTATCGTTTAAATTTTTTGTAAAAAATTTTGTGGGTAAATTATCTTGATATTTATACTCATTTTAAAGACCATTTAAAGATCTACAATTTTAGTGTTGAAACTTTTTTTCTGAAAGTTAATAGAAAAGAGATAATCGATAAAAACAAATTTAACAGCCTCTGGTCCTATCTTTTTTTCCGGCACTGTATTTCCAGAAAGTTTGTTATATATTATTTCCGGAAAATATAATAAATTAATTTTTCCGGAAAGATATAATAATTTCCGGAAAATATAGTTATATATTATTCCGGAAAATATTTCCGGAAATAAATTAATTTTTTCGGAAGGATATATTAATTTCCGGAAAATAATTTCTCAGTAAAGTTTGCTATATATTTATTTCCGGAAAATCTATAACCTTTCCGGAAAAGTTATAATAAATTTATATTTCCGGAAAGTTTTAAAATTAATTAGAGTTTATTGCATTATCTTTTCTTTTCCGTCTGTTAATATCTCTAATACTATATTTCAACTTTTTACAGTCTAAATAATGGAAGAACAAGCCAAAATATTAATGACTTCAGAATTTTTACACAGAAATTTTACCAGCACTGAACTACTTATGCCTCTTAAAGTTGTTAAAATTATTAACTTAAAAATTAAATAAAATTTTTTAAGGGATTTCGTCAATTTGTAGCTATAACCTATTTAGTTTGTAATTTAATTGGATTTATTGCAAATTCTTGGGTATTTTTTGTTGTGGCGCCTTTGCTTTGGTTAGGCCATGTAAGAGTTCCAAAGTCTATTCTTTTCCATATTCTTGCACTTTGTGTATCTGATTTGGCTACAATGTGTGGTAAATTATTTTTATTTTTCTTTAAAGAGAAAAAAATTTTAGCCAGAAAATTTTTATTTTTTCAAGTTTTTTTTTGAAAATTTTGTTAGCCCCGTATACCCGCCTACGAGCGTTCGGTATACAACTCAAGTTTAAATAAACTTTCCGGAAATTCTTCAATTTTCAAATAAGTTTTAAGTCTTTCTCCGACAAGTTTATTTTACTGCAGGCCGGTAGTACATATGTATTTTTCCGGAAACTTGGCGTTCTAAATGCTATTAACATTTGCGCACACCCAAGACAAAATATTAATGAATATTTTTTCTTTCCGGAAACTTGGCGTTTTTTAAACATTTGCGCACACCCTCGAAAAAATGTTAAATTAATATTTTTTCTTCACATTTTCCTCAATTTTTTCTCAGGAATGGTTCTTCTAAATTTGGAAATACTTAGCGGAACTTGGCGTTTTGGACTAGCTGGCTGTCGAGCCTATTTACTTTTTGATTCCTTAAATAAATTTTCTGCCCCAGCAATTGTTTTGTTAATTTCCCGTACTTGTTATTCAATAATATGTTTGGATAAAGGCCGTTTACGTCAAACAACAAATAATAATAGTGGTGTTAAAACAGCTTTTATTCAAGTTATGGTTGCTTTGGCAATTGTTTTGTGTCTTCTTTGGCCTTTACTTGTTTACTCTCAAGTAATTTTTGTAATTGGAAAATTAATTAAAAAAAAATTTTTTTTAATAGGTAACTGAAATTGTTGTACGTATTGACAGACATAAACGACAAGAACTGTGAGGATTTTTTTATGATATTTAAAATTTAATTTTTATTTTTTAGGTTTGTTCGTAAATGTGCCTTTTTACCTCCTCCAAATGTTGAATTGCTTTTTAATATTGTTGTCAGTATAACTAGGTGGGTTAAAGTAAAAACATAAACTTTCCGGAAAGGATTATAGTAATTAATTTTCCGGAAGATTATAGTGAACAAAGAGAAACTTTTACTGCAAGTACATACAATAATTTTTCGTAAAAATTATAACTAGATGTTTCAAGATACATATAATGAACTTTTTATAGAACTTTCCGGATCATTATACGCATTAGATAACTCACGGGATCCCGTAAGAGGATTGTTTTAAAATACCGAACTGAAGGGATTCTGCGGGATTAATCCCGTAAATCCCGGTAACCCAAGATTCCAGGACGGGATCTCACAAAATCCCGTACAGAATCCCTCCGTGTCGCACTCTACTACCCACATTAACACACTTAATTATTTTTTCATCATTTTAGTTATTGCATTCCTTTTGCCGGCTTTCTCTTTTGGTATGCATCCGTTCCTTTCTTCCTTTGGAGGAGAAAAGAACTTTTGAGCCAGAATCCATCCTCCTCATTATCTACCCAAAGGTACTTTAATTAAAATAAATTATCTAAATTTTCTCTTCATTTTCCAGTCATCCACCAATTTCTATTAAATCTGGAATTACGGGAAGTGGGGGTATTCCAAACAGTTTTCCTGCACCTTCTGTTGCCGTTATTCGAAGAGTTGTGGTTACCGTTGTTGTATTGGCAATGGTCTATTTGGTCTGTTGGACACCTTATTGGATTGGGATGTATGCCCAAAGACTTTTTCATTTGAGAATGACTAAACAGAGTAAGTTTGCTGGAAGGTTTTCCGGATATCCTTCCCCCTCTTCCTCCTCCTCCATTTTTAACCTTTTTCAAATTTTAGCTGTAATTGCCATGTATTATGTACATTTAATGCCATATATTTCCTGTGCGGCATACCCGGCAATTTTCACTTTATTTAATCGCCCAATACGCTCAGCCCATTATCAATGGAGGCGGTCAATGCAGAGAAGAATGAACGGAAGTCAGTTGGTGAGGAGAGTGAGAGATGTTTTAGTAACTAGGTAAAGGGACTTGGAAAATACTTTCCGGAATAAAAAATTATTTTTGCAGAACAGATAGTCAAAGGTCAATGAACAGAAGAGGGACAACAAAAATTTCTAGCAGTATTTTAAGAGAAAGACCGAGTAGTTGTGAGATGGAAAGACACCAAAGTTGTGTGTTACTGACAAGAAAAGAATCCCCTTTGGCTGCTGTCAGTTTTTGAATTTGAAAATATTTTTGAATTTTTAATTTTTTACTCAGGGTGTTTAATTAATTAATGATCTTATTTTTATTGTATTTTTAATTTAAAATTGTATACATGTATAAATTAAACTTTAAATACATACACCTTCTTGAAAATACAAAATAGACTTGCTAGAAATATATTCCTTCAGGAAATATACTACCGTTATCTATAATAGAATGACCCTTTCCATTTGAATGGCCCTCTCTAATAGAATGGCCCCCTAGAGGATGATCGAAAAACAGAATGAGATAATACGGTATAATAGAGATAATACGGTATAATAGAGATAATACGGTATATTTTAAATTCAGGATACAAGTTTTAGAATTAATTTAGGTAATTATTTTCTTTGTATGTACATGAAAAAAAACTTTTATTGGGGCGAAAAATAAAAACAACAACGGCACTCACCAACCGGGTTATGATCGATTGATCTTTTTAAATAAATCGCCGGACTGCGCATGCATAGTCTTTTTTCTTTTCGGCTTTTTCATCTCTCTCCCAGCTTCAGGGCAGATAGTTAGTGGAGGTATTCATTCATTCACCTACATACAAGGCCACCCATCAACCACCAAAAACCTCTCTTCTCTTCCTTTCTAGAAACACATTTTCCCCCCAAAATTAAATGGGAATCGACGACACTTTCTTCTTTTTATTAAATTTAAAGTGGTTAAGAAAGAATTATCGACGGAGAGGGGTTATCTTGCTTTGGGTGATTGGAATTTTGGCATTTTTGCTTTGTTGGGTATTGCTAACTTTGTTAATTTTGTTGGCACAAGAAGCTGTAAGTGTGTAGACTAAACTAAATTTTTAATTCCCCCTTTCAAAGTTACTCGGCCCCGTTTTCTTGACAAAATCCTCTTCCTCCTCTCTTTTAACAGTAGACCCAGATTCTTATGCTGGAAGGGGAGTTCAACTTTTGGTTGGGCATTTCAATGGAAATTTGCCGGCAGAGAGAAGGGCTAATTTAACTGAAGGTTTTTTAAAGACTTTTAATTTGGAAATATTTATAGACGAATTGAATAAAAATAATTATTCGCCAATTCCCGATGCGGGCCAAAATGGACACCCTGTGGAATTGAGTCCTGAAGAGGAGAAACGAGCAGAGCATACTTTTGGTATTAATCAGGTACTAAATTTTACACAAATTTCCCCCAAAAAAACTTTTTTTACTTCTTTAAATAAATACATTTCCGATCAAATAAAAATAGGATTCAATAAATAAATCAAATTTTGTATCAATAGTAGGTATTTTGTTCATGCCCCCTCCCCCCCCCTATTTTGTCTCAGATTAATTTTCCTTTCATTCTTTTTTGCTTAGAATGTCAAATTTATTTTTTTTTGTTTAATTTTTGCCACTGTCGCCTATTCTTTCCTTCCTAATTTTTGCTAATTTAACTTAAATTTTACTTAGAATACTTGAGGACTATACAAGGAAAATTAATTTGAAACTCAAATAAGGGGGGGGGGGTATGAACAAAGTACCCAATAGTCTTATTTACAACGGGACGGATAACTTCTTTCAAAAATTTTTTCACAGTTCTTTTTTACACAGTAGTACATAGATTAATCTTTCTTCTTCAAGTCTGCTTTATGCTTTTTGTCTTGTTCCTGTTTGTTTTAAAATTTTATATATTTTTTATGATAATAAACTAACCTCTTTTTTATACATTTCCCCAATTTTCTCCAGATCATCCCAGGAATGCCCCAAAATATTGCTAGCTTCAAAAAACAAAATTTCTCGATTTTTATCAATTTTGTATGGCTCAAACTTAATTCCAAACTCTTTAAATATTTTGTTCATTTTTGGAAGTATTCCTTTTTCACAATTTTCATCGGCTATTTTAAATTTTTTTTCCTTTTCTTCTTTACTCAAATAAATTGAAATAACTTTACAAATTCCAGTTAGAAAAAGAATAATGTTAAAAGAATGTTCTTCTAACTTATCTAAACTCTTTTTTACTTCTCTAATCAAGTCATAATCCAACTCTTTCTCCTTCTAAATTTTAAATAATTTTAAAATAAAATTTAACATATCTAATAGTCATGGATATAAACTTGGCACTTAAAAATCTTAAAATATTTATCAATTTCGGAGTTCTTATTTATGCCATTCCGATTTCCTCATACATATATGCTCCGTTAATAAGTATAGTTTGACCTCAATTTTATATCACTCTCAAATTTAAATTTGGAAAGCAATGACTCTCTTAAAATTTAAACCATGCATCATTTTAGGAAGAAAATATCAAAAGAGAAAGTAAAGCAGCGCTCGGCACCTTAGTCGGCAGAGCACTTGCAACTAGCAATAACTGCCAAGAAGTAGCAGGATTGATGCCAGCCCGGGGCTAATCTTTTACCTTCCTTTTATTTGTATAGCGCTACATAGAGACCGGATTACGAATCTCGATAATCGAGATTTTCGTTCAAGATCTCGTCTCAATACGTGCTACATCCCTTCATGTAATTTCCTATTATAATTACAGCTAATATAAAAAAACTTCTTCCTCACTTCTGATGATAATAAATCTTTGGTATATCCAATGAGGGTTGAGTATTTTTCAGCATTTATGAAAAAATGAAAACTTTTTTGTCCAATACACTCTTCTATCTCTCTTAATAAGTTTTTTATATTTTCAAACTTTTTATCATTCAACCAATCTTTAATAAGATCTTCATTAACAAAAAGTCCAGGGTATTTTTCTTTCTGTTTTTCTATCCATTTCTCGATTTCCATATTATTTTTTACTAAAATTTTGTTTTTTAAATAATTTCCCATGTTTAATTTTTGGAAAAGAAAAATTATGGAGGAAAGTGTCTTTTAAATATACCCTGCCCTCTAAGCAAAGGTGGGGCGGAATTCAGATTTCTGACGTTCTTTTCCTTCCGATTTACGAAAAAAAAATTTGATTTCCGAGTTCCGACTTTTGAGCCAGTTCCGATTTCCGGCCCTTCCGATTTCCGACACCTCTGACTGTTCCGACCCATCTCTGCTCTAAGCCTACTAAATTTTATTAAACTCTAACAGGTTAAAAATCTTCTCCGATTTTTAAAAATTATTTTATTGTCGGAAAAGTTTCCTACCAATTTAATTTTTGATAAAATAAAAACTAATAGGGGTGAGATAATTAAAAGCCTAATAACCTTGGTTATCTTCTGAGATGGATATGACTGTTTTATTTAATTTAGAATCATGTTTTGTTGCAATTACTTTGTGTTTCTTTCTGTTAATTAACTCTGAATTAAGAGATCCAGTCACTTGTTGGATCTCAATCATAAAAAGTAATAAAATAATTACTTTATGAAGAATCATAATTCTAGAAGGGTTTTTTTAATTTTTTCTTTTAAAATTTTTCTTTTAAAAATTTAAAATTGAAAAAAAATTTTTTAATTGTGAATAAATTAATGGAGGCAGTATCTCCCCCTCTATCTCCCCAATAGAGGGGGAGTCTCAACTCCTCCACTCCCTCCCCTCCCTCTTGAAAAATTGAATGTAAAATTGAATGTATTGATTCTTTCACATGTGTAAAAGTCAGGGGGAGAAGTCATGTGTAGAAAATCCCCATGACTTGAGATTTTGACAATAAATTAATCAATTGAAAATTTTTAAAAAATTGATTGTTTATACATATTCCCTCTCTCCCTTAAAATTCTCTCTAGCATTGACAAACATTTAAAAAGATGTTTTCCGGAAAGTTTATTATGTTTTCCGGAAAGGTTTATTTTTCCAGTTCAACTTGTTGGCCAGTGACTCGATAGCAATAAATCGAACATTGCCGGATATTCGTCGAATTCAATGTCGGGCTTATGCTGAAAAGCTGCCTCCTATTAATAAATTACCGGATACTTCTATAATTATTGTATTTCATAATGAGGTGAGGCTGTTAAATAGAAAATGAACCTTAAAGTTGTTAAGTTTTTTAAAGGCTTTCTCTACACTTGCACGTACAATAACAAGGTTGGGTAAATTTTCCTGATGAACTTTTTTTCTTTGAATCTTCCGAAAAGCTTATTACGCTTATCTCTTCAAGTTTATTATACATAGTGTGTTTTCCGACAGATTTTTTCTGTTATGCTTGTGTATCCGGAAATACCTGTTTTTCTTGAATGTTTATTCTTCCGGAATTATTTATTTCTTCAGAAAGTTAATTCAAAATATTAATTTTTACAGCGTCATCAACCGATCACCTCATTCATTACTGCGTGAGATAATTCTTGTCGATGATTTCTCAAATCGAAGTTTCTTTAAAAATTTAGGATAAACAAATATTTTTTTATATTTTTTAGAATTTCTGGGGGCTGAATTGGAACTCTTCTTACAAACTTTGCCTATCAGAATCAAGCTTATTAGGGCTAAAGAAAGGGTTGGATTAATTCGAGCAAGGCTTATGGGGGCACAAGAAGCTGTAGGGAATGTTCTTACTTTTTTGGATGTGAAGAGACTTTTTATCCTCCCTCTTTCTATAAATTTGTAGTTTTTTAGTCTCATTGTGAATGTACCCGTGGATGGCTGGAACCTTTATTGGCCAGAATAAGGGAAGAAAGAAAAGCTGTTGTTTGCCCTATTATTGGTAATAAATTTGTAATTATTTAATAGTTTTATGTAGATGTTATAAATGACCAGACATTTGCTTATCAAAAAGGAATTGAATTATTTAGAGGTGGATTTAATTGGAATATGCAATTTAGATGGTGAGTAGAGTAGCTAATATATTGTGTCTAACACTCTAATTCTATACTCTGTTAAATAGAATCCGGAATAAATAGTAAATAGGTATATATTCTTCCGGAATGTATATCTAATAGATGTTTCCGGAAAGTTTGTTTTATGTATTAAATGTTTCCGTATTATATTCTTTCATATCTATTTTTCCGGAATATATTATATTACGTTTCCGGAAAGTTTTGTTTCTTTCCTACTGCCCTCTATAATACTTCACACATTTTCCGGATTATAGAAAAACATAGCGAGAGAGTTTCATAAATACACAGGAATTAATAATTTTTAAGGTATGCAGTTCCAACTGATATGGCCAAGCAAAGACATCAAAAAGACCCTACAGCAGCCATTGTGTAATTTAAAAATAAAAAAATTTACCCAAAATTTTTTAAAAGTTCTCCAACAATGGCTGGCGGTCTCTTTAGTATAGACAAACAATTTTTTCAAGAATTGGGTGCTTATGACCCGGATATGGACATTTGGGGAGGGGAGAATTTGGAAATGTCTTTTAGGGTATGGCAATGTGGAGGTATTATAGAAATCCTGCCTTGCTCACACGTTTTTTTTTGAAAATTAAAAAAAAAAAATTTTCTCGAAGGTTGGCCATGTATTTCGACATGCCTCTCCCCATGATTTTCCTAAAGAAAAAAGTTCTGGTAAAATACTTAATTCAAACTTGGCGAGAGTGAGTGAAGTATGGATGGATCAGTGGAGGTTTTAAATAGATTAAATGAGAGGAAAAGTTTAAAAAATATTTTTAAGGCATTTCTTTTATAAAATATCACCGCGTGGGTTTATATTTTTTTTAATAAAATGTAAAAATTTTTTAGAAGCTTCTGCTCTAATTCCTTCTTTAGATGTTAGTGAAAGAATTGAATTACGCAAAAAATTAAACTGCAAAAATTTTAATTGGGTAAATTAATTAATTGGGTAAAGAAAAAGAAAATAGGCTGAGAAATTCTCGTTTCCGAGCTTCATTTCCGGTTTATACTGATATGGACTCTCCTCTTTCATTAGAGGCCAACAATAATTAAAAATGTTGAAATGACCTAGAAAAAATCTCGATATTTCGTAGACCCCCTCCCCCTTACTAATTACTTAATAGTGGGAAACTTGGAGGATAACAACAAAGTAGATTAATAAAATGAGAGATAATTTTCAATTTATTCAAGTATTTACAAAATGTGTGGAAAGACAATTTTTTACCTAATGGACGCTCTGCACTTATTGGCCGTGTAAATTAATTAACTCAATATTTTTAATTTTTAAAAAGTTAAGTTTCGTCATCTATCCTCAAATTCTTGTCTTTATGGGCGCCCTTCAAATCCGGGGAAGAGACATCGTTTAACAATGGGGACATGCTCTTTAGGTTTTGATATATGGCAGGTGGAATGTTTTTTAGTTGACATTAAACTAAATTTTCTTTTCTAGTTTTGGGTATTGTCTTCGTCTAAAGAATCAGAAGGGGTTAGATTAATGAGTGACGAACATCAATGTTTAAGTGCAGCTAAAGAACAAACAGATAATAATGTTTGGAGAGTTCAATTGAGGGAATGTGGTGGACATAGTAAGGGGAGAATTGATAAAGGGTTGGGTTAAAAATGGGGAAAAGGAGGAATTTTGGGGACGAGTTCCTTCGATTCCTTTAAGGTCAGGGATCTGAGGAGAGGAGGGGGATTTAGAGTTTAGTATAAAATGGAAGAATTTATTCTTGGAACGGGATAAGGGTGAATCACCCTTCACTCTCTCGGAATTTTTCTTAAATTACAATTTAAAATTGAGATGAACAGAATATAAGAATAAACGTTTCTAAACAAAAGAATTTTTTACACAAAAAATCTTTTAATTTAAGAAATGGAATATTGGAGATGGGAATACCGAGTGAGTTGAAGTTTAACTTAGAATTAAATAACATTTAAAGAATCGACATTTTGTCCACATAAACAGCAGTTTATGTTTGGATGAACCAACAGAAACGGCTAATTCCTTCCCTTCTGCAAATATCTTTAATTTTGATGGAAAAGAAGAAAAACCTGAAAGATTACCAAAAATGTCAAAATGTGTTAGGGGGAAATATTCACAGGTAGAAAATTAAAAGAATATTTTTTCTTGAATTAATTATCCCTCTTTAAAGCAATGGGAATTAAATGAAATTAAATGGCTTCCGGAGAATAATAAAAAGAATTAAAGACAAGAGGAATTTAAATTTTCTATTAATTTGTTGTAAATTTTGTTTTGTTGATTTAAGTTGAATTGTATGAAAGAATATTTTTTAAATTTTGAATTTGGTGGGAACTAAATACTGTAGACGATAAAAGAATTAGTGATGAACTGGACTAGCGTCAAACTGATTTTATTCTTTTTGAGTCTAGACAGAGAAAATTAGTTTGGGATTTAGGGTTTTTTAGTCGCCGGATCGGATCCTGCCGGATTTTTCCTGAGTCCCTGGTCCCCGAAAAAATATACCAAATCCGGGGTTTTTCGCAATCTCCGGATTAAAACTGGAGAAAATCCGGTCCGGCAAGTTGCAGATTCAGAATCCGGGTCGTGAAAAATCGATTTTACCGCTCACTAGTTTTTTGCTTGAAGTTTACTTTCTTTTTGTTTTGTTTATTTTTTAATTTTTATTTATAGAATTTGTATATATTTATTTAAAATATTTTTTAATTAAAAACAATGAAAAAATGACAAAAATTTATTCATTTACTTTCCACAATGCAAATTTACCAGCTATTTTTCAATGTGATAATTGGACAGCCCAACAGGTTGCCGAATGGTTAAATGGTAAAAATTAAATATTTATTGTTAGAAATATACCTATTTTTATTTTTGAGTTAAATTAGAAATAATTTTTTAAATTTGCGGACAACATTTGCGGACAAATTTTTCCCTATTTTTTGTCCGCAAATTTTATCCGCAAAATTTTTTTGATTTTTAAAAAGGCGTAGATGATGGAATGGCCCCCTATATCAGACATTTTGTTACCCACAATATTACTGGAAGTAAATTGTTAAATGTTGATAATGATACTTTGAAGAGAATTGGTGTAAATAGAGAAGCTTCTCGGGCAAAAATAATTTCTGCAATTAATTTACTTTTGTATTATGTAAGGAATTTTTTTTTAATATTTTTTAAAAAAAATATTTTTTAGAGTTATTCAATAAAATATGAAAATTTACAAAAATTGGCTTTGAAGACGAGGTTTTTTTTAAATTTTTTGATCCGTTTAGTTTGCCTTTTTAAATTTCTGGTAATATTGAAACGGACAGACTCCCTTTTTTTCTCCCCAATTTTTCCCCTATAATTTTGCTCCTTTTACTTATTTTTGGCCTTTTTCTTTGATTGTCTGTCCGGTTCAGTATTACAAATTTCCTAAATATTTATTTTTTAATTTTTGCTACGGCTCCTTTATTATTTTTTGTTTTATCACAATCCTACAAATTTATTAAAGGGACCTTTTTAAATCCAAAAGAATTTTTAAATAGTTTAGCCAGAATCACAATATCGAGCAAAAATTAGTTTAAAAACTTGAATTTTTCTTTATAAAAATTTTTCTGTCCTTTTCTCAAGAAATTTCTTATTTTTGATCAAAAAATTTTATTCTTTTATTTTTTCTGAAGGGTTTGCACAAACGAAATACTCGAAGCAGTCTCCACAGCCACTCCAATAATCAATAATTCTTCAAATGCTTCAATGCACATAGAAGTATTAAATAATGTTTTGGGTGCATTAGCTAGCACATACGAAAATACTATAAGGCTGATATTTTGGTTGGAAAGGTTTGAATTTGTTTGTTTAAATGTTTAAAAATAAATTTAAAAAAAAGAAATCCTTTTGTTGGAAATAAAAAATATGCAAAAATGAGAAATAATTTGGCTACTTATGTTGATGAAATGGTTGATTGTGTTAATAATCCAAACAATCCAAAATTCTTTTCTGTCCCGCAATTGTTGATTGAGGTTTGTTAAATATGAGATTTATAAGAGTTTTGTTAGGATATTTAGCAAAAAAAAAACATTTTTATGTCTAGCAAATTAATTATTCTCGAGTAGGGTTGTCGGTTCCTGGAAATTCTTCGGATATCCGGAACCGAACCGAAAAATCCTTGGCTCTTCGGTTCGGTTCACAATCAGTCCAGAACCGACAACCCTCCCTATTCTCGAGTGGATGCAAAATATTCCTTTAGTATTTTATTAGTTTTTACATATAAGCGTCTGACTAAGTTTTTCGCTTAGGAATTTAGTTTTAGTTTGGGTTTTAGTTTTCGATGTTGAGCCGGACATTGCTAATAAGTGAAATGTTTTTTACCAATTAACCCGATAACTCATTACTCTTTTGCGTCCTTTGATTTTTTAAAATTCTCTAACAATAAGAAATATTTTTAAAACAAAAAAAACTTTTAAGACTACCCCTCTCCTTTTTTTATATTAAAATTCTAGTTTTTTTTAATATTTTAGAGAGCAAAAATGATTCAACAAGTTTGTAACGAAATAATTCATTTGCCCGATCCAAGTATTTTATATACTGCATTTCTCGATAGAATAACTATTAGAAGACCTGCTTCTGCCGATTGGGTATATTTTTTGAAAGAATTTTTTTATAAAATTTAATTAAAGGGTTTTGAGATTGGAAGAACCTGTTTAGGCATAAATTTAATAACTCGAGTTGATTACAATTCCCCGTCTGCATTTCCAGATAAATTTGATGTTGGGGATGAAATTTTGGAGGTTTTTTTCTTTAAAAAAATTTTTTCTAAATTTCTTTTCTAAAAAAAGATTAACGGTCAATCAGTTATTGGATGGAAAAGAACAACACTTTTACGTCGTTTAAATGAAAAACAACAATTTTTGAGGCCCGGACAGGCACAATTCTCGAATTTAGAAAATGTTGAAACTCAGCTACTTTTGTGTAAAAGACCGAGAGAAAGCTGCTCTCCTCAAAGATTTCCTAAAATACAGGATTGTGGGAATTTGGGAGGGGATCAAGAAGCGAAGAGATTGACTAAATTGGCTTTGGATTTTAAAAATAAGGTTTGGAATTTTTTAAAATTGATTTTTAAAATTTAACCAAAAATGGTATTTTGGACTCGAGATAAAACCAAAACTATTTTTTGTTGGATTAATAAGCAAATGGGAATGATTTGTTAATGCGAAAGACGGGTTATCCTGTTTAAACAAAGATATTTGGATGCGCCATCCCCTGCTGATAATTTTGGAATATTTTTCTTACGGCGTTTTTTCTTATTTTTTTGTTTACCTTTCCCGCTGACCAATTATAGTATGTACTAAATATCTATTTTTAAATTTGGTGGAAGATAATTTTTTATCTTTTTCCTTTCATTCAATTTTTTTCAATTTTTTATTAGATCGGAACAGATTTTTCTATGAGATGGCATCGAAATCAAAAAGAAATTTCAAACGAATTAAAAAAACAAGAGAACAGCAATTCCAACCATTTAGCCCTACGACGTGTTCGTTCTTCAAGTTTTACAGCAAATGTAAATTCAAATAGTCGAAGATGCAGTGATTGTTCATTACCCCAAGCAAGTAGATGTATTTCACTTTTAATTCCAACTGGGAAACAACAATTATTTCGAAGAGCTTCTGTTTGGAATGAAAGCCCGCCTGGAACTTTACATTCCCCTTTTAAGGTTTTTTTAAAAATCAATTTTGGAATTGAATATGAAAATTGTTTTCCCGTTATTTGCGGACTAGATTTGAGGGTCAGATATAGGGGAATCAGGCCCGTAGCATTGATTTTTTGGGGGAAAATCCCCCTACCCCCTGGCTACGGGCATTAGAGGAATTATATTATAGGGGAATTACATATGATAATAACTAAGAAATTAGCGGATTATTTCAAAATTGATTATTGGACCTTGAAGAGTACCTATTACACAAAAATGTCTCTATACATTTTTTGAAGAAATAATTAGAAAAGAATTTTTTTAGGATTCAAATTCATGGCTACTTTTACTAGCTTCTTGGGGCACAGAAAATAATCGTTTGACAACAACAACTAGACCCGATCGGATTCAAAAAAGGCCTCCACCATTGAAAGGGATTCTCGAACCTGGCGAAGTTTCTGTTGTGGTAGATAAAGGAGAAATTGAGGATGGACAAAATGGTTAGAAAATTTAAATTTAACTAACGGTCATTAACTAAATTCAAAAATAGTGATTCTTAAATTATCAGAAATTTTACGTCCTAACGTGTAAATATTAAAATCCGAGGTAAAAATTCATTGTGGACTTTTCACTGATATGTGGGGTAATAAATATTTAATTTAGCCTTTTCCAGAATTTTGTCCGTTATACCAACATAGGTCGCAAATTTTTTTTATTTTGTAAGGGAATATCCTAAATTAAAATTATTGTCCGTTTAAATGTTTCCTTTTGTGTTTTACTTTAAAAAAATATTATTTTTAAATTTAAAGGTATCGTCTTTTCAAGTGTTGAAATAGTCCAAGAAAATGAATTACTCAAAATTGGAACTTCTCTTTCTGTTATAGTTGAGCCTGAATGGAATGCTCCAATTAAAGAAATTACTGGAATATCAACACAACAAAGAATTCCTTTTTCTGAAAATGCTGTTAATCCGTTACCCGTTATTAGTGAATCTCCTTTGAGGTGCTTTTAAAAATAATCACATTTTTGTTTTTGACTTCCTCCTAAAACTTTAACAAAAAATTTTTTGTTATATTTATTGGGAATGCTAGGGATTTTATAAACTGACTATAAAATTTGTTTTGCTTCAACGAAGGTTGGCGGATAGTTGGAAATCTTCGATATCCGGATCCGAACCGAAGATTTTCAGATATCTTGCAATTTTTCGGATCCGGATCCTCCAACCTTAGTTTCCACACATTTTATATTTTTTATTAGATACTTAAAGGATTAAATATTTTATTTTCTTGTAAGTCGCGGAAATGTTTGAAAAGGTGTTTTTGGGAAAAAATTTTTTGCAATTCGATAAGGGCACATTTCCGCTAATTAGGAAAAGTAAGATCTAGGAAAAAATTTTTAAATTTAATTTTTTAAAGCAATATCCATGCCAAAATTGCTCGTTTCTTTTATGGGGAATTCTCAACAACTCCATCGCCTAGTCCATCAAGTATAAATATACAAAATTCTTCCCAAGATTTAACAATAAAAACTTCAACAACATTTTTACCCAAACAAACAACAAATCCTGAATGTAAAACCCCAATAACTCCAAATTCTAAATATTCACTAGAATTACCCTTTTCTTCGAGTACTTCAACAAAATTGGGGGAGGGAAGTTCGAGTAGTTTATGTTCTGTTGATTCGCCTTCCTATACTTCTACTATTGTTAAAACAGCAAGTTCGAGTAGAAATAGATTGGCTGTGAGTTTTTTTTTTGATAAATTTTTATGAAAACTTTGAAAAAAATTTGGGACTTAAGTTTAATAACAATCTTCCATTAATGTCAGTTTTTTTCATTTCCACCGCCACTTTTACGACAATCTCGGGTACTTTTCCGTTATCCCTTCACCTTTTTGCGGACATATTTTTGTGGACTCATATATGGTCAAGCTCCTCCCTTCCTTAATTTCACTCAATTTTTCCTATGTCGTGTTTAATGATAGACCAGTAATAAAAAGGGTTAATTATATTTAATGTCAGATTTCTCTGATTTGAGATGTCATACAAACAAGAGATCCCTCATTAGAGTCAACATTTTTTTCAATTTTTAGCCTTTGGCTGAACCAGATGAAGTTGGTGATTTATTATTAACTTATGTGCCCATATCTTCATCAGAAAATGTTTGAAATAATTTCTTTCGAAAAAAATTAATTTTATTTATTTAGGCAATAAATAATTGTCAATCAACACAAAATATATCATCAAAATCCCCAATTATTGAAGGATTAATTTTGCGAGAATTATTTCAATCAGAATATAAAAGACAAATTTTTAGAGCTTCGTTTAGACGTAAACGTTGGACAAAATGTTGGGGGTTAATTAAAGGAGGGATATTTCAAATTTATTCAAATCAAATGGTAAAACAAATTAATGATTTATTAAAATTAATTTAAAATTTAAGTCAACTGAAGCAGAACTTTTAATTGATTTATCGATGAGTACAATCACAACTAAACCTGAAATTCAAACTTCTAAAAAACAGTTAATAAATATTTTTGTATTTTCCCGGGAAACAAAGTTAATTACGAAATAATATAAATCAATGGGCCTGGATTGGATATGGGGGGGGGGGGGGGCTGGATTTAAATATATAGCATAAGATGGAATGTGTCACAGTAGGGGGTAGTGGATGTTTGTTGTCACAGTATGTTGTGTCCTAGGTATTCTAGGTTTATTCTCGGAGGTGTTATAGTGCTAAAGCGAAACGTAATGTAGTCTTTTTTAGTGTAGCCTTTAGTAGTGTAGCCTTTTTTATATTAATAGTAGCGTGAACGCTGGGTTAACAATCGTGAATTTACTTGAACGATTGAACCAACTTTTCTCTTTTAACTTTTTATCCTAAGCTTATCTTTTACAACCTTAAACATTCTTTTTCTCCCAATTTTCCATTCTTGTTTAAAGGCATCCTGGGCCCACTCTCCTCATTGGAAAAGTAGGAGAAGAAGACAACTTTTCGGAAAATAAATTCTAAATTTTTATTCTTTTATATTTTCCTTCATTTTTAGCATTTTCCTATTAAAAAATAAAAACAAAGGATTAAAATTACATTTTGCTGTTTATTCAAATGAAGAATTAAATAAATGGTTAGAAGCAATTATTCAAGAACAACAAAATACTTTAATTATGACATCCTCAACTTCTTCAACTGAATGTCCAAATATTTTACAAAAATCATCTTCTAGAGCTTCTAATATTATTGAAGGAAGTTCTCCTCCTCCAATGATTGTACATGTTGTTTCTGGTCGTCAGTCACCTCGGTGATATTTTTTAATTTTTAATTGGCTTTAAATATTGATTCCTTGGATTTGCACTTTTATTAAGAAATGTTAAAATAAATTACCGGAAAATGCTTTCTGAGAATATTTCTGAATCATTTACTCGAGAGCTGAGATGGGCGAAAATTAAATTTACGCCTCAAGGAAACGGAAAAAATAAAATCGTCAATGTTCGAAACACGAAACGGAAATTTTCGTCCATCTCTACTGGAGATGGACGAAAAATCTTCGATTTTTTTAGAAATTCTGAATCATTTCTTTATGAACTAATTAATTCTTAAGCAAAAATTTCCCCAAACATTTTATAAAATTAATTCTAGGAAATAGTGCATATCCAAAATTTTGACTTTAATTTTTTACTTTACACTCAACTTTAACTTTACTATATTTTTGAATGTGATTTTTTTCTATTATTTTTTATTTGATTTTTTAAAAATATTTTTCTATTACTTTATTTCCAAAAATTTAGTCAATTTTGTTATTGTGATTTTTGATTTTTCGATTCAATTTTTGATTTGCATTTTTGTTTTCCAAAGAAACAATTTGACCAAAAAAGACTGAAAAAAAGTTTTTTTGAAAGGAGTAGCTATAACGTCTTCTCTATTTGTTCCTTAAGTGTTATGCTCTATGAAGTAAGGTTGGCGGATAGTTGGAAATCTTCGGATATCCGGATCCGGTATCCGAACCGAAATTTTCGGATATCCGGATCCGATATCCGAACCGAAAATTTCGGATATCCGGATCCGGAACCGATATCCGAACCGAAATTTTCGGATATCCGGATCCGGAACCGAAATTTTTATTTTCAAAATTTTCGCCTGCGGCGCTGTAAAATTGAGTCCCAATGGATGATAGAGAGGTTAAGAGCTGGGGTTGGGAATTACGAGAGATATAGAGGCACTTATTGATTAATCTCCTATATCCGCTCTAATCCCGTCATCCTTGATCCCTCTATATGACATCCATATACATCAAAATTTCATTAAAGTTGTAAACCCGCATGTGAGTTTTACAAATGTTTACAACTCTTTCCCTTTTAGCGCCGCAGGCGGAAATTTTGTGAATTATGATAATCCAAGGCTCCAGATTTCTTCTCATTTCTGCGCCGCAGGCGAAAATTTTCTGAATTTTGGAGGTCAAGAAGCCAGATTTCTTCCATTTTTAGCGCCGCAGGCGGAAATTTTGAAATTTTGGGAGGCTCTTAAGACAAAAATCTTTAATTTTCAGCGCCGCAGGCAAAAATTTTGGGAAGTTTGAAAGATCAATGGACTAGATTTCCATTTTTCCCTAATTCTAGGATCCGAACCGAAGATTTCGGATATCCGGATCCGGATCCGATATCCGAACCGAAAATTTCGGATATCCGGATCCGATATCCGAACCGAAAATTTCCGGATATCCGGCCTTTTTTCGGATCCGGATATCCGGATCCGCCAACCTTACTATGAAGGACATTTTTACTTTAATATTTTTTGGTCAAAAACACCCATTTTAATTATAAAACTCAATTAATTCTCTAGTCGATAAAGCTTTAAAATAAAACCTCTATAAATTCTCTAAAATTTTTGAAAATAAATTTGACTGTATCTATTTAGTTTATATTTTTTTTAAAAGTTTTTTGATAGGATAATTTAACTACTAAACATTTTTTGGAGTTATTTTCTGTTTCAATTTTTGTATTTAATTGAATGAACAATTTAATTATTATTTTTATTTTTTTCTTTTTATTATTTTTTCAATTAAATTATTCTCAAAAATGTTATCAAACAAAATTTACTAATTTTATTAAATCAAAAGAACAACAACAATGTATTGTTAATAAACGTTTTTTACTTTATTCTGTTGTAGGTCTTTTTGGCATTTTTATTTTTAAAAGAAATTTTTAAAAGAATCGTGGAGAAGGCTTCAATTTAAGAAGGGATGTTTATATGAGAGTGGCTAATGTTGTTAGACAACTTAGAGAGAAAGGTGAGGGAGGGAGGACGTTTTGGAGAAGGGAGTTTTCAACAAAATTTTCTTTTTTTTTGATCCAACTTCTTTGGGTAATTTTTTAAAAATATTCCTAAAAAAGTCGTCTTTTTACACCCTACAGCCAGTAAGGTTGGAGGATCCGGATTCGAAAAAAGGCCGGATATCCGGAAATTTTCGGTTCGGATATCGGGTCCGGACTATTCGTCCAACTATCCGCCAATCTTACTAAACAGTCCAAAAATTATCTAATAATTAAAGAGTACCTTAAAGTGAGCGTATCGTTTAAGTAACTCCCCCATCATTTTGGTAAACATGTCCAAATAGAGGTCTAACTATATTTTGTATTATTTAAGGTCATCTTTTTACACTTGTTTTACCTCCATGGCAAGGTATTTGGCATTGGCACGATCCAAAATTAAGAATTTTTTGGAAAGAATTATTTGACATTGAAAGTTTAAATAAATTTGTTCCGGTTATGGAATTTAATGAATTTACTAAAAAGAAAAAAAATTCGGAATTAATTATTGATTCTATTTTTTATCTTCAACATTATCAAGAAGGGTGGTCAGAAAGTAAAGGTTTTGAAATTAAATATGAGATTCGTCCTTGTATTGATGCAAATAAATATTACAGAAAAAGTAGGGCAAAATGGTGAGTGAGTATTCCTTCCTTTTTTAAGTCGGGAGAAGGAAATTTTTAAGGTGGGTCAATTTCGGTAATTGGTTACCCACTGGATGCTTGATTACCCACTGGGATACCTCAAAAATGTCGAACGAACACTTTTTCCTCGTTTTTTTCTAGGGACCAGAGAATGGGTCGGAACATTCCGAGGTGTCGGAAATCGGAACTGGCTCAAAAGTCGGAATTCCGACCCACCTCTGCTAGGGACCAATGAAACAGAAGATTACCCAGTAACTTAAAGATATCTTGCATGTTTCTGTATTCCTAATCTTAAAGGTTTAGACAATTTGTTGATGGAGCCCTCAATTCTAGGGGCACCTTCAAAATAATTTTTCATTTTACTTTTTAGTATAAGAAAATTTAATTTCAAACATTTCTAGGTTAGGCGACTTTTCTGGCCAAATATTAACTTTCAACGAACTAAAATGTCTTTCAATACAAGGCCAATCGAGTACTTTAGTTGATGCAATAATTGAATTAATGAATAATAAGTAATTGTTTTTGTTTACTTTCAAGAAAATATTTTCTCTTTTTTTCTAAAGACAAACAATTCTCGTTGACAGAACCGAAACAATTTTACATGACAATTTTGGAGATGGTTGTTTGGCATTTTGTCTATCTAATAAAAATTTTTTTGTTTAAGTTAATTATTGGAAAGCAAGAATGTCAATGAATTATTCAAAAAAATTAAAAAATATTGGAGATAAATTTAGAAAAGAAAAGTTTCCTTTGGGGAGTGAATTTATTTGTGCACATTTAAGGCGTGGGGATTTTGTTTGGGCACATAAAGAAATTATTCCATCTTTGAGTGGAGCGGCGAATAAGGTAAAGGAAATGGAGAATTTAAAAACAAAGATTATTTTAATAGGGGGAATGACGGGTTATCTACCCAAAGCTTTCTTTTGACCCAAAACTCGGCCCGATATTTTTCTATACTCGTCTGAACCAGGGCTGAGTGCCATGGCGTTTGTCGAGTTTTTAAAAATTTTTAAATGGGCGTTTGGCGTTCCGCGCAAAAATTTTGGCGCACAGCCTGGCCTGAACCTTAATGCCCAGTCAAAAATGCTAACTTCTGTTTAATAATTTTTTCTTAATAATTTCCAATGATTTTTCTCTTAAAAATTTTAGTTAAAAGATTTATCAAATAAACTTGGTCTCAAAAATATTTTTATCTGTACTGATGCTAATAATGAAGAGGTTAACAAAATTACTTCTATTCTAAACGAGAGTGGATTAATTGTTGATCGCTTTATTTCTCAAGAATTATCACCTGCAGAAGTTTCTATTATTGACCAGGTATTTTTGGAATATTTTATAAAAATTGAAAAAAAATTTTCTTTAGTGGATTTGTGCACATTCCAAATACTTTATAGGAACACATCATTCAACTTTTTCATTTAGAATACACGAAGATAGAGAAATATTGGGTCATTCATCAGAAACGACATTTAACAGATTTTGTGGAGAAAAGGAGAAAGAGGGGAGGGAATGTGAACAACCTGCCAAATGGAGAATTTTACTTGATTAAATTTAAATTATTAAAATTTTTGTATCAAGAAAGCCTTAAATTAAAAAGAAAATTTTGTTCGATTTAATTATTAGGAATTGTTAATCTAAAAAATCAAAAGTAACAAAATGCGTTTTTCCAATTGTCTCTTGCGCCAACCCCTGATCTCAACTATGGGGTGAGATACGGCCTTACGAGAATTGAAAAATCGAAAGGGACCACGCTCATTTTTGAAGTTAAAAATTCGAAAGGTTAAGAAGACCCAGGAGGTCAAATGATCCATTGAAGAAATAAATTAAAATACAAAATGGAAGTAATTACACTATTGAATTTTGTGGAAGGCATTCTATCGATTTGGCATTTAGGAAAATTGATTTTTGAGGGGTTTTAGAAAATAGGGAAAAAGGTAAATTCTCATTTTATTGATTGCTATTTCTGGTTTTCTAATCCTTAAGTCCAAAATTCCTAAAAATAAATTTAAATTTTGGCAAGATTTAAGGCTTGACAAAAAAATTAGGCATTCCTCTTGTAGATATTTTGAAGCATTTACTCGTTTGCCACTTTTATTTAAATTTAATTATATAAACATTTTGGCATACCGTTATTTATTTTATAGAAAATTTATGAAAGAGAACTAGAGTTTTCTTTAGGTGGCTCCTTCTCATTAATTTTTTTTCGCTGTTTTTAAATTATTTGTTCAACCCTTTAATTATGGTATGAGTAGGCTCCTACTCAACCTTTCGTTTTCTTTTTTTGTAAACAAACATTTCTTTAGTTTTTATTTGAAACCGACGCCTTAATCATACAAATAAAAATTTTTTTACATTTTAGTGTTTTAAATTTTTCAAAATTATTCCTCCTTTGCCTTTCTATCAGTGTATGCGATAATTTGGATGGAGTTGGATGGTCTTTGCTGGATGTTGGTATGTTTACGCCTTTTTGAGATGATGGCTGAAACAATTTATATTTTACAAGGTTTATTAATTTTTTTGAAATAGAGGGTTTTGGTTGTTAAAGTTGTACTTCCCCCCTTCTTTTCTTTCCTCGTATGTAAGTGGGCAAGCTTGAAATGGGGCCAGTACTCGTTCTGCTTTTTAGAACCAATGCCAATGTTGGGGGGTGTGTACCTTTTTTGGCCTATTTAAATTTCAAAAATTTTGGTAAATGTGGACAACGATTCTCGAAAATCCCGCAAATTTAAATTGCGGGCACGATTTTGTCGGTCTCTACAAAAAACCTATTTTTAATCACTGCGATAAAGTTAGGCGCGAAAAAGAAATCCGCGACAAAGTGTCCTGTCCTACTTGAAAATGAAATAGTTAGGGAATTAGAGAAGGAGAGAAAAACCATCCTTTTATTCAAATTCGAAATGGCTTCTTTTTACGTTAAGTTTAAGACTATTTCTGTGTTCTTTATGATTTTTACATCGCCTAATTTTTTAATTAATTTGTTTTTTCAGACATAAAATATTTATTGAATTTTCTATAATCTCCACTTAAATTGCCTTAATTATTCTTCAAATTTTAATTATGTTCACAAAGCTGATGAATCATGGCAATATTGTTCTACTGTTTTGTGAATAATGGATGACGCAACAAGGTTTAGTTTAAGTTTTGGTTTTCCGAAAAGATAGAATGTCCTTTTTGGATTTGAGTGAAATTTTCTGGTAATCCTCTACCTCATTTGGCCCTTGAAAAACTCAACAAGAAGTGCTTTTTGACATTTTTGAATTTTACTAATAGATAATCGAGTGTGCTGAACCGATTCTAAGCTATGAATTTTTTCTAATCTCGGGCCTGGATTCGACCAACTCGAATTCGGGGTAGAAATTTGAATTCAAAAACGTCAAAAAGCACTTATTGTTTATTTTTTTCTAGGGACAAATGAAGTAGAGGATTACTATTTTTTCTTTCTTTGATTGAGGTGCAGTTTTGGTGTCTTAGGTTAAATCCGCCAGAATTTACGGACAAATTATCACTTAAAGCTAGCTGAGTTAATCAGAATAAAATCCGGGGTTTTACTGGTAATTAGACTGTAGATAACTCCTGGGCCGTAGATAAATATTTTTGGCAATTTAAATTTTTTTGGTTTTCAAAAATTGTTTTAATTCTTACTACTTTTCACATTTAGGTAGAGGTGTATGAAAAGCTTTAATTGCTCCTTCTGTAATGTCACAACTTTTGCTGTTTAATTGCAGTTGATGGTGTTTTTTGCAAGTTTAATTTTTTTATTTTTTTAAAAAACGGCTGTAAACAGACAAATGAACATTGTTTACTATGGGTGAGGATTTGATAAATTTTTTGGTACCAATTGATAGAGGACCCCCGGCTTCCTATTGTGCATTGATATGCCGTTTTATTACAAAATGTCTCCGTCGAATTATGGCCAATTAAAATTTTTGTCTTTGGGATGGTTGGGGGTAAATTAGTTTGAGGTAATAGACTCCGATCGGGTTGAAATATACTATGTCATTCGGGGTATTGTACTTACAGGGGGTATTTTGGCTGGACCGAAGCCCAGT